TATAATTTTATATATTAGATTATAATTTTATGTAATTATAAAATTTAATGTTTAAAATAATTTAATTTATTATATAATTAATGTAATTAAAAATATATTAACATTATTAATTTATAAAATTAATTGTTTTGTATAAAAATAGTTTATTTAAATAATTAAAAGAAAGAAAAATAAAATTAGAGGAAAGTGGGTGGCCCACGTGGCTTTCAAATTGATTTGCAAATTTTGCAAGGTTTTTTCCGTTTGGCAATCCATACTCTGACAAAAGTTGATTTGCAATTGTGTTTGCAAGCCCCATGTGGGTGGCCTTAGTAACGTATAATATCTTAAATTTCAAGTTTATAATGTACACATGTATACAATACCTTGAAGATCTTTTATTTTTTATAAAATTAACTGATAAACATGTTCAAATACAATTATACAAGATTATCATCAAGTTTATAACATAATATTTCATTATTATCTATATTCAAGAAAATACTTCATTATTAAACTAATTTATTATAATTTTTTAATTTTTAATTTGACATTAATATCGAAATTTTTAATTTTTTTACCCAACCTACAAATTAGCAAGAAAGCCATTTTAAAATATTATTTTTTTAAACATAAATTTTGAATTTTATTTTTGTAAACAATTGTAATAACTTTCCATTGCATATTTACAGTAAGATTTTATTAAATATAAAAGGATTCACCTTCTAATATTTCTTCTTATGTGAATTCTATTCATGACGAAAATATCGTGTGTGAGAGTAGGAGTTATGATCCCATCAGTGACGGATCTATAGTGATACACACGGTGGTACGTGCCATCGTATTATTTATTCGTTAAAAGGTAAAAAAAAATTAGGTTCGTGAAAGATGCGATCGTATTAATTTGTTGTGTGCTACCGTATGTATTTTGAAACTACAATGAGAACAAGTTTTATTTGGTAGAATTGGTTTGCAAGACTTTTATTCCATCCCAACCCAAATCGAATCATGTTAGTGTCATTTTTTTAGTCAAATTGTGCTACCATTTGAAGAAAAAAAATTCCTTATAATCAAATGGTGCCACTTTTTGGGAAAAAAAAATCGGGTTCGTCATTGGATCCCATTAATCGTTTTTAATCTCAAAACAATCTGTGAGTTGTGTTTTAAAAGGGAATTAATCTGGTGTTTCTCATTAATGTTGATCTGATAAAACTATTCAATTATGATTGATCCAAGGGAAGGTACTTTCAATTCTCACTTACCTCTCGTTGTCATGGAACCCAACCCTAATTCTATTCATACCCTTACCATATATAATACTATTTGCAGGTGGTTTCCTTGACTGAGAAACTGCAGTCTAAGGAGGTGGCGGCAATGACAGCTGGCAACGAAGATGTTCCGGCTCCGGCGGTGGCGAATGTGAAAGTTGAGGACCACTTTAGTACAGGCAGCGGCGGAAGTGCGGTGGTTGATGACGTGGATGGGCCACAGCTTGTGGACAGCAGCGGTGATTCATATTTCCACCCCCATGATCAATATGCAGCAGCAGAAGAAGACGACGGCAGTGATGACGGGAACCACTTCCCTAATTATCCCTTTCAGACGGCGGATCATGAGGTGGAGGAAGACGACTCCCTTGGCTTGTGGGTTTGGCCCTATTAATTACTGCAACAATATATATACATATTATATTATGTAATGGTGTAGTATTTGGCCTCATATATATATATATATATATATATATATATATATATATATATATAAATTTGGGACCACGTCACACCAACTTGTTTTCTTGAGATCCGTAACACCATTTTTTACACTTGAAATTTCACAACAAAACGCTATGAAGTTAACTTTCACACTGTTTTTGCTGTGAGGATTCGGTTTTTTTACTTTCACAATGTTTTACTGTGAAGTTTCAAGTGAAAAAAATGATCTCACATGTCTTACGAGAACATATTGGTCTCATGGGAACCAAACCCCCTTCTCTCCTTCTCTCTCTCTCTATATATATATATATATATATATATATATATATATATTAAAATGTTGTTAATTCTAGCTACTTTGAAACTGAGATCTCAATTAGTAAAATAATGATATGATTTGGTATTTATTTTTAATTCAACATTTGTATAATTTGTTGTATAATTAATGTAACAACGGGATCTTCTTTTGATAGTTCTTTAAATAATGAGATCTTTGAGAACCGGTGCATCATATATTGTTTCATTTATTCTTTTTGCATCTATGATAGAATTTAATACAGGGATTAGCATATATTTGTTTAACATGTACTTGGATCATAATGTGAACATTTTTTATGTGTTTGTGAAACAAAAAGTACACGTACAAGATTTTCACAGGTGAACCGAATACATATAAAATAAACATATTGTGAAACAAATATACGTTAATCAATACATTAAATATTATTTTTAGATCAAAAAATTCAATTGATACAAAATCTCAGGATAGAAGTTTTTACGGACCTTATAAATTTTAAAGTTTTCAAATGAGCAAGTATAATCTGATAAATTTACTAAACTAATTTATGCGGCAGAATAAGGGGCGTGTGAAGCACAAAGAACATAAAATTGGGATCGGTTTATTTATCATGTTAATATCACGATATCTGGTAACTCCATGAAGGCCCATGGGTCTTGTGTATTCGTTCAACCAAGTTTTGCGAGTAAACTTTTTTTGAGGTATATAAAATGCTCACACTAAAATTTGAGTGGCGCTCCATGATATTAGAAATTACAAGGGACAATAACTAAATAACAAAAAAAGAAAAACCGCGAAATCAACCGAAAAAACGTTAAAATTTCTTGAAATGGTGGAATTTGGCGCTAAAAAGACATAGGACGACTCTGAGGACCTTTGATCTAACTTAAAGGTGCACCAGCTCGACAAAAATCCTAAGTCCACCACTAACTCGATCATGTCTCACCATATGCATGAATTTAATTTGTTGTATACAAATGAGCTGATGAGCAGCCCCTCAACTTCTACTTCGGGTTTGGGGAGCAAAAAGAAAGATAGTTACACCAAACCATAAACCAACCAAACGAACTCCTACTCGTGTTTGTTAAGAGCTTAACGAGTTTAATAAAACTCATAGCTCATTAGTCAATTTAACATAACTTTTTGTTAATGATTTAATGATATTAAGGATTACTTATTCAGTAAGCTTTTTAAGAAAAGCTCCATACAGAAAGCCAAGTTTTTTTCCAAACATGTCTCTTCCTATAAAAATACACGCTATCTTCATTTATGTAAAAATCCTCCTAAATGAAAACCTTTCAACAAATAAATGAATCCACACAGACAACTTCATTCATATAGGATTTAATTAAAAACCAACAATATAAACCACAAAAAGTAAGCTAGACTACCCCGCAAAGCACCAAATATGAAAGCAGGAAAAAGATGCTTCTATATATCACAACAGCATCTACAGCTAGCTAAACAATTAAATCTAAAATACAAAAAGAAAAGCCAAAACAGTCGATGAAACTACGTCGTTAAAACTCTGTTCAGTAGCATCTACCCAATTTACATCAACAAAACATTTACGATCATTTCCATTTCTTCCAAAAAATCGATCAATTACGATGCCACCATACCATCTTTCTGCTCTTCAACTGGTCTTGATTTCTTGTTTTTATCTTCTGATTTCTTGGCCTTTTCGCTTGCTTCTTTCCGTTTCCTTGATTGTTTTGGGACGGAAGAAGTGGTGGTTTTCTGGTAGTCGATAGAAGCGTCGAGCGTGTAGATGCGAAGAGCGAGGGCGGACATGGTGGAGGTACTTGCAGCAATTGAAGCGGAAGACCAGTACCACCACCAAGTATTCTTGATATATTCCGTCTTGATCATGGTTTCGAATACCATGATAGCTTGAACCATCTGGATGCAAAAAACGAACAATCTCATTTGCAATAATTAAAGAAAGCAAGTCCATCATCAATAAACCAGACCAAACTGACCCACTAAATCCCAACACGACAAAGCAGCAATTAGTGGTCACCAGGAAAATAGTTTCTTCAAGAACGACAAAGTTCAAAAAGTGTTATAGCCATAAGGGAAAATTCAAATGAGAACAATGAACATTTTAAGAACCATGAGAACAAGTATATCAAGTATATGCATATATATATATATATATAGTACATGAATATACCAACTAACACATACATATCGTATATGCATCAATGCCCCCCCCCCCAAAAAACACACACACAGAGACCGCAAATCATATAGAAGTTGTCTAAGTTAGAAACCTGAAAACCCGTTTTGTATGTTACATCAATATACTGACACATATATTATGTGCATCAATGCCTACATCCCTACACACACATACATAGAGAGAGAGAGAGAGCAAATCATATAGAAATTGTCTAAAAGTTAGAAATCGTGAAGACCAGTTTCATAGATGAAACAACACGTGTGAAAATCAAACCCGTGAAAACCATCCAATTAGTTTGATTTTAAGCTATGATTCATATTGTTACCGATGTTTTTTCTTGTGGTGAGCATGAGTGTGTTTCATGTATAAACATATTTTCGTGTTCAATTCCTTGACGTTCCATCTATGAAATAAGACATACAAATTCGTTTTCACAGTTTCCAACTTTTAGACGATTTGTATATAATCTGCCCCCTATATATATATATATATATATATATATATATATATATATATATATTATATATAGGGAGGTTCAGGGGAAAACCCCCAAAAATGAAAAACTAAGGAACACTTTGGTAATCATTCGTCTGGATGGTATGCACTTTTGCACACAGGTTGTTTCTTGGTTTTTATGCACATGTGCATACGGACAAGTTGCTTACAAATTACTTGTAAGTACATGTACACATCGTCCAGATGAATAGTTACCTGGATGTACCTCGGTTTTTCATATTTTTACAGTTTTCCCTGAACCAGACCCTATATATATATATATGCATGCATATATTGATTCTCAAAATAACTACGATTTCCCGATAGCCATATATGCGAAGAAAGCACAAATAATAGTGAAAGTAAAGCCTACTGATAAAAAAAAAGACATCTACATACCTCATATATCGTATTAGCAGATTTAACAAATGTACACCATGCCGATCTCCATTCATGACCGGCCCTAGAAGTTCTTTTTGCTTCATCAGGAAGTGCAGCTTCCATATCCAGCAAATTGATCTTCAGCTGCCTCAACATATAAACAGCCTTCCCCACAATTGCCTTCAATGAACCCTCAGGGATAACAAAGTTTCCACCTACCTCGCTGAATGGGTCAGACTCGCTTACCAAGATTTCCGAGCCATCAACACCAGGTTTCAAGGCTGCAACCGTACCCGAACCATCATGGCTGAAACCAGAAACCAATGAAGGCCTGCTCTTTAGTGAGTCAATGGATTCTTTATGTGAAGTCTCAGAAATCTTGCTGACAACTAATTTGCTCGTTTCTGATGACGAACTCTGACCACAAATAGAACGCTTGTGATGTTCGAATTCGATGTTCGTGAAGAAAGTTTCGTGGCATTTGACACAGTGGTACCGAGATGGCAAAACGGGTTCTAAACAATCACATCTGTGCCATTTTGCAATATTCTTTCGTCTTGGCTTCTTTAGAGATACGCCAGCATCTGGCTCCGAATGCAAGCCGTATTTGGACTCTAGCAAAGCCGTTGCCTTAGTAGGGAGGAGACTGGGAGAAACAGATCTCTTTGAGTCTGCAGAATTGACCAAATTCCGATTAGTTGGTTGACCACTTTGTAACATTGATTGTTGCCACCACAAGATAGAATTTCTCAATTCTGTTTTTTCAGGATCATTCCTTCTCAGATGATCAACAAGATTGCTTATTTCGTCATCTGATTGGAATGCATGCCATGACCCAAAAGATTCAGATTGTGAATGACTTGCTGGATGATCAGATGGACTAGTTTCACTCGAGTTCTCGTGTACAACTATCCCATGATTAGGACTTGTTTCTGGAAATCCCCAGTACAATCTTCCATCAGAATCAATACCCAAAAACTCCTTCCGCAAAGACAGCCTCGAGACCTGTTCTCTCAGATGATCATCAGAAACATAACCGCCGTCATTCTCTCTATCAGTGTCACAATGATCAACATGAGGGGCAGAACCATCTTGTCGTTTTTGGATCTCCGCACCTTCCTTATGCGGAATTTCTTCTATGGACCTCGATGCTTTCAATTTCCGCATAACTTTCGCCAGCTTTGCTCGTGAATGATCAATATCCTCACGAATAAGAGCAGTATCCAGTAGCTGGTCACATAGAAACTTGAGCAAAAAGGTTTTCTGCATCAAAGAAAAAAGTCGAAGATTGATCATCTTATCTTGTATCAAAAGAAAGACCATGTGCTCAAAACTTAAGTACATGAATCCGGAATGGATGGAACATCATCATTATAAAAAAATTATTAATTCATTTACTGTGGTGCATCCCGAAAGAAATAACAGAAAATTTGATTGTTACAGTCGGAGGTACCAAATATATTTATATATAGACCACAAATCAAATAGAAACCGGCTAAAATTTAGAAACCGTGAAAACCAAATTCATGTAATAACACATGAAAACCGAACCCACCAAATCAGCCAAAACCATCCAATGAGTTTGATTTTAAAGCTATTATTCATATCGTTTCACATGTTCTGTTTATGTGTGTGACAGTGAGTGTGTTTGTTTCATGTATAAACCTACTTTTGTGTTTTTTTCACACGCAAAACATTCTTTGACGTTCCATTTATGAAAAACACTATAAAAAACTGCATGTTCACATATGTTGTTTTATCTGTTGTTTTATAGATGATACAACAAGCAGAAACTGGTTCTTACAGTTTCTAACTTTTAGACAAGTTTTTATTTGATTGCCACATGCATATATATGGGACTAATCAAATGAGAACCACAAAAAAGTTGAGAACCGCATGTCGTTTCACATTGTGAAACAATGCATGTAAAAATACAGTGTTGTTTCCCTGTGTTTATTTTTAATGTCTATTTTTAGTAGTTTTTTGTTTGACATTGTGAAACAACACTGTACATTCACATGCATTTGTTTCAGAATGGTGAAATAACACTTAATCAGTGGTTCACTAGAAAGCAAATTAAAGATAGAGAAGGGATAGACTCGAAAGTGAACTAACCTTATCTGCCTCTAAATCCCAATACTCGGTTTCGTCCAAAGCAGTCGCTATATCCAAAAACTGATCCGCCTCTTCCCATTTTTTGTTCACAAATTGTAAAACATGTCGAGGACCTTGTGATGTGTTGTCAACAAGTTGCTTACGAGGTGTACACGTAGGACAATACCATTCGCCTTCGGGAATTTCAGAAAGAGGTGGACTCAGGCAGTATGTGTGATACTCGGCATTACACCCTTCCGTATCACACAGCAACACCTTTTCATCATCTTTGTTAAGGCCACATACCTTGCAGATTCCCGTTTCCCAGGGCACTTTGGGGATTTCAAGAGAAGTTAGTTGTTCTTCAAGCTCCTTCTCTACCTCCTTAGTAAACTTTCCGTTTACGTTATATTCAAGAAATCGCCCAAATTGGGAGGCTACCTGCATTTAACAAAACACCTTCAAACAATGAGCAATGTGATAATGGATCACTAGAAGTACAGGGTTTGTACGGAAAAGAACATTCCGGCATTACCAAGATTTTATGTTCCAAGTAAGCATACTTTTCAAATAACAAACCAGACAGACCCAATAAATCCCACCCAAAAGTAGGGTTTGGGGTGAGATGTATGCATACCTGGCCTCGACCCCAACCAAGATTTATGTTCAAAATAATTTTCAAATATCAAACCAAACAGACCCAATAAATCCCACCCGAAAATAGGGTTTGGGGTGGGATGTATGCAGACTTGACCTCTGCCCAAACCAAGATTTACGTTCAATGTAAGCATGATTTTCAAATACCAAACCAGACAGACCCAATAAATCCCACCCGAATGTAGGGTTTGGGGGTTGGATGTATGCACACCTAACCTCTTACCCCAACCAAGATGTATGTTCAAAGAAAGCATAATTTTCAAATACCAAACCAAACACACCCAGTAAATCCCACCTAAAAGTAGGGTTTGGGGTGGAATATACACAAACCTGAGCTCTACCCCGATTTTGAAGACCACCGTACTTGTGCAAGAGTGACATTTTCAATTAGAATGGATACAAGTTATTATTAGTGGAAATATGAGTTTTAATACAAGTCGATGAACACCAATAGTGATTTAGGTGTTCGAACACCAACCACAAACATCACTCAACCAAGATTGTACCAATCACCAACATATCTTCATTAGGGGTGTACAAAAACCCGTCAACCCGCGAAACCCAACCTGCTAACAACCCAATTAAACCCAACCCGCCGCCCCGCCGCTAATGTATATTATTTCGATAAAATTATATTTTTATATACATCTATAATATTTACATCCATTATAATTTACAACCTAAAGAATATATACATATATTAGTCCATTTTACAGCCCAAAGCCCAAAATTTATCTAACAAGTCCAAAATTTCCAACTAGGTCAGGCACTCTATGAGCTATCTAGTAGTCCATCGATACACCTCAATTCCATTATGCCCCCTTATTCCCTTAACTCGGGTACACTAAAACAACTAGATCAAGCGTTGTTGGACGCAGTCGGACACTGTTGGATGTTGCTACTGCTAGACACCTTTGAAAAAGACCATGTCTTGTTATTGATTTAATTCTCTTTTACCTATATGGGATATATGGCCAACAATGTTGAGGAGCTTGTAGGAGTTGGGATATTTACTCGATTTCCTTTGAAGAAAGATAAATATAGTGATCATACATGCAATTGTATGATATCAATGATCGATATGCACTTTAGTATATGATCCTCTCTTGCATAGATGCTCTTATAAGTTGGAACCAAAAATGTTTAGAAGTTGCTTTATTTCTTCCCATAAATTTTTGTTTCATTGCATAGATGAACATATGAAGTATGTGTATAACTAACCTGCCAACCCAAGCCAACCCGCCCTAACCCACAAGAGTTGGGTTGGGTTATACTTTTGAATGGGTTGGGTGGGTTTCCAAACCGCCATAATTGGGTTGGGTTGTAAAAATATCAAAACCCGCGTACACCCCTAAATCTTCATTACATCACATTTGGGAACAAATGCCAACCGATAGATCTTAAACTGCATATTAGAAACATTTGGTCAATAAGAGCATTTCCAGTAGATCCTCCGAAAGAGAGAAAATGGAGATTTTCTTCTCTATTTTTGCTCCAACAGATTCTATATATTGTTCTCTAAAAGAGAGAAAACAAGAGAAAAAGAACTCCAAGTTTCGAGATTTCTCTAGAACTTGACATGAGAGAGAAATGATTTTTTTTATTCATTCCCACCAAGGAGATTGAATTAATATTATTTTATATTATTTTTTTAAAGTGTATTGGGGTGATAAAATCATAGAATATTCTAATATGATTAATTAATGAAATCTCTAAGATAGAGAATCTATTGGAGTTGAATGTAATTTTTTACAGATTTTAACTTTTGTTTCTCTATTTTAGAGAAATTATAAAGAATCTGTTGGAGATGCTCTTAACTCATCCAATGATCCAAGTACAATGCTACAAGTAGGATCTTGGTTCTTCCTGTCGTGTTCTCTTCTTCATGGTAGATATAATAAGACACATGGAAAACCAAATAAACAAGGTTATAAATTCATGACCGCTCCATCCAAGTATTAAGTTGACTTTTGACCACAGCACACATGTTCAGGAGTGGTGTAGAGCATCTATATCACATTTAAAACTTTCACGACTGAATGCAGCATATAGACATGTGGTTCATATGCAAGAACAGAATACATGATGAAATATCATATATATATATATATGGACATCATGGTAGCATGTTGCATATTTCATGGATTCAGATTTGATCAAAAACCAATTATAAAGCAACAAGACTAAAACATGAAACTGTTTACCCACATAAAATATAAGAGCAGCAAGTCAGTTATGTCTGCATAAAGAAGAAACCTGTGGCATTGCCTAATCATGACAAGATCATAAAAAGAATGCAAGGAATCAAAGAAAAAGACTAGTCAAACCTCGTTTTCATATCGTGATTCAAACTCTTTGGACATTTCATCTGCCAACTTAACCAGACTAGGCCTATTCGAGTGAATTATCTTTAAGTTGATCCACAGCTGACAATTAACACATCAAAAAGCGTTAGCATGTTCAAACAACGATAAAACTTATAAACAACAGACTGAAAGAGAAAAAAAGCATAGAGATATTTTATTGTTCCAAGAACAGCAGATATATTTAACTGGATACATATTTCATTAGAGCTGGAAGCACCATGGATATAACTTTCCACGTGAGAGGGAGGTAACATTATCATAGTATTTGATTAATAATAGTCATTATAGATTGTCAGTCACGAGGCTGAATGCTCATTCCTATAGAAAAGAAATATATATGACAAGAAATAAGAGTGGCAAAAGAACAGGCTAACCTATATATAAATTGGGATATGTATAGTTTCAAAGTCCCAATTTCCCACAAAATGCAAACTGATAAGAGTTATCTATGTTAAACATGTGTGTTATTGAAGTCAACATATTATTTTAATTGAAATAAGAGCACAAAGCATTTATTGGTCACAACTTACAGGCCACTGTTTAAGAGTAGAAAGGGGGTGATACGCATACCATAATGAGGTAATTAATTAGTAGGTGGTAGAGAATGTGTCATTGCACATGTGTAATCATCTTCTGGTATGTAACGTTACTATGACAGATTATTAGTACGATGGAGCCCCTAAAATTAGAAAATCCACCTAAAAATGCAAACAAAACCTTCTACACATCCTGTATCAGAGTGTATACAGAGCACGCCATTGAGAACTCTTTTCCAGCTGACACTGAATTTTGGCATAAACTATCTCTCACAAAAATGATAACCAAAAGATACAATATCAAACTAAAATACTAGTAAATAAATAAAAGGCTGTAGCTAACCTCCCTAACATCCTCGAGAAAAGCTTCATGTGAACCACCATATGTGCCATGAAGCAATCTCATATCGATGGTCCGTAAATCCAGAGGACGTGTTGATGTAGATCCAAAAACAAATCTTACGTCGTCGTCATCATAACTGAAGTTCCTCCCCACCAAGTCAGTGAAGACTCTGTTCATATCACAAGCAGCTACACGGCGTAATATAATACGGCATTTTTTTAGTATAAGTTTAGATACCAGCTCAGGTGTTCTTTTTTCTTCCCTGACTGGTGGTAATGGCCTTGCTGCTTCATCAGATAATCTTTTCAGAACTTCAATAACGGCCCTCTGCTTAGAACATGGAAAGCGACCACATATTCCATAAGAGCTTCAAAGTTAATTGATACAAAATGGTATCAAAAATATAGACACCGAAGAAAACAATAATGCTTCCTGATTATATTCTATGCTCCACAAAATCCATACACCCAACCACATAACTAAGTTACTTTGTTTTAGAAAGTGAGAACTAAAACAAAATAACACTACTATCATTTACTTCCAAAATACTGGAAATAAGCCTTTTTTCCGTCTCTTTTTTCCTGAAACACTAATCCAACCAGACCAGTCAAATACAGTTGCAATTATCTGATCACCCAAAAATACAAAAGATAACTACTATCCCAACGAAAGTAGAATCCGCCCCTACAGTAGCTAATCGAATAAATCGTAGCATCACGACTACAAGAAAAAAATATGTTTTGCCTCTGCAAGACCTTATGGGTAACAGGTAAAGATCAAAAAGACAACAAACTCATTGTGGGACAATAACTTTGTTGTAAGATATATAAAAAAGACAGCAAAGAGACTTTGCCTACAAGTCAATGGAAGTAAATAAACAGAACAGCAGAGAAACAGATTATTCAAGGATACAGATCCTTAAACAAACAAGAATTTCATAGATATTGGCACCAATGAACTCAACCCTTGCCACTTCAAAAATAAACTGTCTTGTAAGTGTTATATTTGCATAATATGATTGACTATGCTAACAATATCTTCCTAGACCTAAGACATATAAAACTGCATAGTGACTGATAACCATAAATGAAACACATGCAAATGCTCAGAGTCGCTACTCTCATCTCTGTTGAATCAAAAAATATATGACCATATGCAACAAGATAAAACACAGCAGAGGGTGAATCTTTACCTTGGTAGGCCCAGATGCGTTTCCTTTATAGACGTCCTTTGCTATGGAAGCCTTCAATAGCTTCCTAGCCCAATCGGGTGGATTTTTCTCCAACGCATCAATGATGAGGTTCCGGATTCTGGCTCCGACATTTGTCGGGAGCTTTCTGACTGGGTCAAGCACCTTGGCCCATTCCGGAACACTACCACCTGTAGCCAACCCATTTTCATCTGAATTATCTGCCTTATTCCCTGTAAGGCCCATTGTTTTAGTGTAGCTCTCTCCGTCCAATTTGTTGAAGACTTTATCAACAGCTCTTCCAAGCAACTGAGAAGAACAATCAGACATTAGCATTCATTCTCTGGATTAATTTCATCATGGTTGCTATTCAAATTACTTGCAATAATTACCCACATTATGTGGCTTGCAAGTTCATTTTGCAAAGGCAAACATAAGATGTTTTTCCCTCTGCAGTACATTAAACATAATTCAGACTACATGTAAATACAGCACACTGTTCGACAAGTTAAGAAACTCATGTTGCTTGAAAGTTCAAAAACTGCATTATGTACATTTACAACATATAGCATCAAGTATTGAGCCTAACTTCATCTCACCTGCGCATCCACATCAACACCTGCAACGCCGGTGAGTGAGCAACAGCAAATACCACCATCACCTTGCAGACAGCGCATGAGCTTGGTATTATTACGGATAGCAGTGTCTAGAAAATTGAGTCTTCCTCCCATTAGCAAGTAAGACAAGATATATCTCCGGACCACTTCCGGCCAAGTCAGCTGGTTGATTGGAACCATATCTAATTTTATTCTCTTAACCATGTTTCGGTTAGCTGAATCTTTTTTATGGCCCCACTTTGACTTAGATATTTCAGCCTCACTAGTTATGTTCACGACTGATGCTATTTTGTCCAGGAGTTCACTTACTAGCTCAGGAAGCAGTGCCTGGTGAATAGTAGTCAATTTATCACTGATACATCTAGTACAATTCATTTCTATTGTTTCCAGGATCGATGATTCACCAAGCCCATATGTAGCACCTGTGCTACTGAAATCAACTTCCTCTGGACTATCTAAGCTGTCCATCCACGGACAGAGAAGCTCCTTCTCAAGTTCTTCAAATGATAACTGATCTTTAACTCCAAGATTTTCTTGGAAACGACATAGGAATTCATGCACCTGGTAGAAGAAAGACCAAAACACATTAAAATAGACAACAATTTTCAATCAGCAAAACTCAAAAGCGTATACCTTTGTTCATAATGTCAATGAGCATACATACCTGAACAAGGTTGCCTACGGCATGAGAAGACAGCCTTGAGCTAATAAGACTCCCTAAAAGAAAAGGTTGCTTGTTGATGGCAGTCTCTTCCGTGATCAGCATGCTCTCCCTTTTGCTCGATATGGTCAAGGTAGTTAATCGGGCATCTCCCTTGGTAGCCTTCCCACCCTCTATCCCCTCCTTAATATTAATTTTTTTATTTACAATTGTTGAGGATGAATCCGTTAGGCGGTCTTTGCATAATATGTATCTTGAACAGGCTCCTGCACCAGGAAGCTGTTCTATGATTTCTTGAACAAACCCGATATCTAGTCCAAACTTGTAGTCTCTCAACCATTTCATCAACGAGTCTGAAAATCCACAAGACTCCTTATCACCTCGAATGAAAGATGGACCCTTGATGTCGTGTTGTGAAGCAAATTTGTCCAAAAAGGCGACCTGGTCTCTGCTACTCGGACAGATAAACTGCATAGAGGACAAAAAGTTCGAATCTTTAGCATGCTCACAGAAGCACTGCAGACCGCCACTCCGTTTAATGTTTTGTTGATGAGCATCAGCAACTTTTTTCAACATCAGCCTCCAAGCTGAAGATGGTGAAGAATCTTGAACCAGAAGCTCGCCAATGAAATCTCCAGAAACCAGATCATCACTGGCCCGCATGACAGGACATTCATCAGAGCTGCTGCCAAGATCCATTTGAGAAGGAGGGATGATATCAGGAAGCGTCTTTAGAACCTTGTTATACTCATCATGATCCAAATCAGTAGGATCCATGAGAACAGCATTTTTATCTTTCAAGTAATCAGAAGGTTCCTGGTCTGCCCTAGACAGAACAGTTGAACCACATGGAGCAGGGCACGTTGAGCAACTGGACCTTCTAACAGTAAAAACAGGCCCACCATCACCATTATCTGACACCTCACAGGTATAAAGTGAGGCAGTAACCTTCTCGTGCCAACAAGATATATATCCGATTGGCCAAATATAGTCGACACCATAGTAAGATGGACTTGCACTTATCTCCCCAAAAGAAAGAACATAGAAGTCCTCAAACTGTACTGGAAGTTGAACCTGAAGGTAAACATCCTTCAAGAATAAATATAATTGACAAACAAAAAGAAATGTAGAAAATCAAAAATTACTGTAACAACAAAAAAGGTACTCAGTACCCTGACTTACATCAATTTCATGTGCCATCGATATGATATCTGAATGAAGCCTCCCTGATGCTTTTCAGAAAAGGAATTGAAATCTACCTCCTCAAATAATTTGCAAACACTCTTCTTATGATGCAACCAATCTTCCAAACTCAATCCTACTGAAATGCTTCTTATAGGTTGACTGTGTTTCAATGACGCAACCAATCTGAATATATTACTGGAAAGTGAAACGGGTCAACAGCTAAACATTATCACCTTTGAATCTGCTTTCTAAGACCGAAAATGATATAACCTATAACAATTCAAAGACAAGCTGACACAGAGCTAACTGATTACATGACTAATATGAGTGACAGTGTGCAGGAATACTTGAAAAAAAGCCAAGACCTTCATATACAAGGGGTCAACAGGACGTTCCAATCTTTTTGGAGGCCCTGTTATACCTAAAGCTTTTAATCATATTGCAAAATGAGATAAAAAATATACAAATTACAGAGATGATGATGAGACGTATTACTTTTGTCTTATGATAGAAATTAGAGAGGCACTGAGGTGAGCTATAGTTTTACATTCATAGTTGAAAGGCTTAAACAATGTAAAATTGGGCCCCAATTCAAAATCACACATTTAACATGCTAAAGAATGGCCCTGTCAAAATAGCTAAACCAACCCCCAAAAAATAAGAGAACTCTAAAGTAGCTAAGAAGTAACATATGACTTGACAGTCAGATAAAAGTCTTATACCAATCAGATACGACAAGACATCTAAGTAACAAAGATCCATAAAAACCATTAACATGGCATTGAAATGGAAACAAAGAGGAGATATTAGCGAATACCGGTCCCAGGAGTACAGCAAGTAATCATTTTTTTAAGTATATAATATTTATAGACGGCAAATGAACAAACAAACTCACACACCCTCCTCACATACAATGAGATATTCATGCAAGAAAAGAAGAGTCGGAATCAGCTGTCTACAGTCTGTTTCAAAATTAAGTACAACCTGGTGAGTCACGACACTGATTCCACTCTTTCTAAACCTCCAAAAGAACAAGTGATAAGCAAAAAACTGAAAATCAAGACAACTTGAAGTGAAACAATGTCAAATGAGCTTAGTCAAATAAAACCCATCTTAAAAAGCAAACCAATCAGTTAACGCTACAATTGATATCAGTCATAGCACATACCATGCAGCACTTTTCAAGAGGGTAAACTATTATTGAAGACCGAAATAGGTAAATCGCGCTTTGATTATGTTATCAATTCAAGATTTTGCCAATACTACATATCTATCAACCTTCATAAAGACCAAAAAAGCAGAACCGTTGGCATCAAGCATGTGCGAGAGATAGAAATACACCTGCTCAAATCAACTTTCTGAATCGGAGCCAACAAAAACCCAAAAAACCAGCGTCTAGGGTTTTTTTCAGTGAATTACCAACATTTATGATTAAAACGGGATTCAAGCATTCTTCATCTACAATACCTTACTGACTTAGGGCTCCACACGGACTAACATTCATCAATAAAATGAAAAACAACAGATTGATAGATAGATTAATAGATACAAAGAGAGAGCATTTGCCCACGCACCTGTGACCTTCTCTATTTGGATCCGCCGCCTATCTCACGCATTTAGGGTTCCGGCCTGGAATCCTCCTATTATATGCATTTTATAGACCTAGACAACTCGGATTAAATTACAATAATTTTACAGCGAGGACATTATAGTAAATTCATAATGTTTGGTTTAGCAATTTAATCAATTAATATGGCCGGCTAGGGAAGACCTATTACACTCCATCACGCCTTCCTGACCTCCCGCTTAATAATTACCAAAGTACCCTTCACTTTCAACCTTTTCTATATAATGGCAAATAAGGTGCAGTTTGGGGTGCTTAATTACTTCTCCTGTACAGTAATAAAGATAATATTAAGAATATCAATCATTATTTCCTATTTTGGATGTTATCTTTGGATAAATTGGAATTGACATAGAAATGAAACCTGTGCTTGCCCAAAATGAACTTACAATGCTACATAGCAATTGATCTAGCATTATAAATGTACCATGTTGTCCACTTAGTATCATTATAATTTAATACTAAATTGTCCAGGCCTACAAATGCATCTAATAAGAGAACTTTGTTGGATCCCCAAATTTCATAAGTAGGCAGCAGATCCTCAATAGGGAAGGTCAAACGAGAGTGGGTGAAACCTCCCTCCCTCCCTCTCTCTTTGTGTGTATCTATTTATCTATCAACTTCTTGTTTTGTTGATTATTGACGAATGTTGGCCCATATCAAGTCCTATGTTTGTAAAGTAGGTGATCCTCAATAGAGAAGCTCAAACATATAGTTTGTTTCTACTATTTATGGAAATCGAACTATGAGTCTTGTATTGTTTGTTGGAACCAATGCTAGAATGGAATAAGCCACCTCAAGGAAGGAAAAAGTTTGGTTGGTTACTCATTTGAGATAGAATGAAGCATTCAATAAAAAACTCCATTTCAAACAAATTTCTTCCTTTTTTTCTGGTCCTTACAAAGAGGTTGTTTTTTTCAACGCCTCTAGCAATGGAATGAAATTATAAATACAATGATACACAATGCAACATTGAATTGCAATCTTTTTTCAAGATTATGACAACCAAATCTTTTGTGGGTCCTTTTTGGATCTCTTGTTCTAAGTTCTCTGATTATTTGTGGTTAGTAGGATTGCCAAAGTTCCCATATTCTTGTGTTTATTCTATGTAAAAATTGGTATATTTTGGATTTTTAATTAGAAAATAACCATTATAGTAATAATTTATAGTACTTTCTAATTCCAAATCAAAACAATACTAACAATGTTTTAAGTGAACAATTATTTGACATTAAAAAATAAAATGTCTTTTCCAAATGAAATAATACATAGATTAATAGATACAAAAAAAGAGCAATCACCCACGCACGCCTTCTCTATTTGGATCCGCCACCTATCTCACGCATTTCGTTTTCTGGCCTAGAATCCTCCTACTATATGCATTTTATAGACCTAGACAACTCGGACTAAATTATAACAATCTTACAGCAAGGACATTATGGTAAATTAATATGGCAAGCTAGGGAAGACCTATTCCACTCCATCACGCCTTACTGACCTCCTACTTAATAATTACCAAAGTACCCTTCACTTTCAACCTTTTCTCTATAATGGCAAGTATGGTACTGTTTGGGGTGCTTAATTACTTCTCATGTACAGTAATAAAGATAATATTCAGAATATCAATCATTGTTTCCTATTTTGAATATTATCTTCGGATAAATTGGAATTGACACAGAAACGAAGCTTGTGCTTGCCCAAAATGAACTTACAATGCTACATAGCAATTGATCTTGCACTATAAATGTACCATGTTGTCCACTTAGTATCATTATAGTTTAATCATGAATTGTCCAGGCCTATAAGTGCATCTAACAAGAGAACTTTGTTGGATCCCCAAATTTCATAAGTAGGCAGCAGATCCTCAATTGGGAAGGTCAAATGAGAGTGGGTGAATCCTCCCTCCCTCTCTCTTTGTGTGTATCTATTTATCTATCCACTTCTTGTTTTGTTGATTAATGACAAATGCTGGCCCATATCAAGTCCTATGTTTGTAAAGTAGGTGATCCTCAATAGAGAAGCTCAAACATATAGTTTACTTCTACTAATTATGGGAATCGAATTATGAATCTTGTTTTGTATGCTGGAACCAATGCTAGAATGGAATAAGCAACCTCAAGGAAGAAAAAAGTGTTGTTTGGTTACTCGTTTGAAATAGAATGAAGCATTCAATAAGAAATTCCATTTCAAACAAATTTCTTCCTTTTTCTCATTCCTTACAAAGAGGTTGTTTTTTTCCATGCCTCTAGCAACGGAATGAAATTACAAATACAACAATACACAATGCTACACAATTGCAATCTTTATTCAAGATTATGACAACCAAATCTTTTGTGGGTCCTTTTTGGATCTCTTGTTCTAAATTTTCTGATTATTTGTGATTAGTAGGCTTGCCAAAGTTCCATATTCTTGTGTTTATTCTATGTAAAATTGGTATATTTTGGGATTTTTAATTAGAAAATGAACATTATAGTTATAATTTATTGTACTTTCCAATTCCAAGTCAAAACAATAGTAATAATTTAGTTGACACTAAAAAATAAAATGTCTTCTCCAAATGAAATAATACATAGATTAATAAATAAATAAAAAGAGCATTTGCCCACACACATATATAAACAAGGTGAAGCCAAGATTTGTGATGTTATATGCAGATATCTCAAATAATTTGACAAAGGGCCACTCTAACCAAGGCAAAGAACCTCCAAAGGAAAAAAATGAATTTTGGGATGTGAATTAAAGCTCAAAAGAATATTTATATCCGTTGATGTTGGATAAGAATATGAAGAGAACAACTAAAATTTCGGACTACAGAAAAAGGAGGTAAGAGTATAGTTGAAGAAAGATGTATTGCAAAAAAAACAGCAATAGAAGCCTGTATTGATAAAAATAATTGAACCAAACAAAGGTTCTACTTCTAAGCCTAGAGTCTGTTGGGCATCACCACCAAGATATTGTGCGTAATCAAAAGATAATTTAAAGAAAACTTCAACAAGCCCTATCTTTATCTAATTTGATTATCAAGCCTTGATTAAGAAAAGCACGACGATATCTATTTTTAAAATTCGATAAAATTTAAAATTGAAAATGACTTGAAGACTAGTTCAAAGAAATTTGGAAAGATACTAGAAATATGAAAATACAAAAGCACAAATAGAATTAAATTGTCCCTTGTTACTCGTACCGAACCGATTGACCATAATCGGTAACAATGAGTTTAATCTTAATTGATGTCTCTTATGTGTATCCCCATCTTCTCATTTGTAGAAGTATGTAATCTAGTGTATATTTATCTTCTTTAAATTGCTAGAAATATTGTGCTTTAATTGTTGAACTTCAAGACAACAAAAATTTCAAACATACGCAAGCCCCCGCTACATGAGCACTTTAAAGAGTGTCAGCCCTCAAAACTGTTTGCTTATGCATTAGTTAGTTTTCAATCAAACCAAGCAATAAGGGATTACTTTGAATAGCAGTGAGAAATACTTAAGACTACATGAGTTTTTGACTTTGACCAAGTATCTGATAGCATTGATGGAAAAGTATATCCATTTAAAGATGAGGATGACTTATTGTTAGAGATATTTATATTGTTATATTTTCCGTGTGGTTTTTCCATTTATAATCATATAGTGCTAAATATATAAATATAGAACACTTTGTACATTCACAATCTTATCAACTCTCTATTAATTTATAGGCGTCATATCGAATGGTTGGTGAAAAGTCTTTAATAATCATAATGTGCCACTTAAGAAGTTTTATAAACCTTGCCATGGAATTAACTTCAGGAAGAGGATGACAAGAACATGAGTTCCAATAAAGAATAGGACTGTTTACTTTGCTAATATATGTGTAAGCTTAATGTTTCCAAATTAGATAATCAACTCTCTTTCCTTTTTTATTTCTTTTGAGAAAACACTTTACCTTTCTAACTATTCTCCGGATCTTTCCTCTAGCATATGTTCGTATATGGTAGCCTTTCTTTTTGAGGATATGACTCATTGAACAAATTAAACTCATAGATAGAGACCACATAATGTTATGATATATCCTTCACTCCCCTCGTGTCTAAGTGAGTATAACCCCAACACTTCCACTAATTGGAAATTGGAGAACTAAAGAAAAATAAGAAGCCGTATCCATTACACATGAGACTTAATTATTATTACAACTACCTATTATGCTATTACAACCACGATTGCACTTCATATAGGCACAACCACAAGCACTCCGAAGGGAAATCAATACATAATAGTCATTATGTATAAGAATCATGTTGATGATCAATATATGTGCCACACCGATGATAGTTTTCTAATTGCCATAGAAGTCTATGTTACATCACGATATATAGCAAGATCAAAAAGTTACACTATATAATAACTAAACATCCTTATGATATCAAGATTATAGTCCTTGCTTTTCTAGATGATTTTACTCACCAATCTCAGCAAAATCAGCATGATTAAAGCTTCAATCAAAACCTTTTTATACGAGTTAAGACTTAGTTCTTTAATTGGCTTCACTTAAGAAGAAAAAACCAATGCACGCCAATTCTAACAAGTTAAACAACTTATGCACTTATATGATCCAGATCAGCAATACCCAGCCACACATCAGGCTATAAAAAGTCGGATGACCAGATTGCATCCTAATTAGAGGTTATGGCTTGTTGTCTTAAAAACCCAGGCCCTTGAATAGTCGTTACCATATCCAGTGGACCTGTCTGAAAGAGAATAAGGCAATTGACCGATTGCTTCTCTGTATGCTCAAAGTTAATTCAGCATATAACCCTGTATATACTTGTGTGCACAATATCCTGTTTCTTTCGGCTGTTATCACTGATTTGTGTCATAATTCCATCAGTTTCACATAAACACTAAAATCAGAACTTCTATATCTGTCCCGTTGAGTATCAACAGGTGGTCAGTTTCACCTTCAAATATAAATTTGTGCACTTCTTCTCAAGCTTTTGCTAACCCAACTAAGCATGTAATAAATCATTCGACTAATCGGTTTCACATCAACATCTAGAATTTGTTTCGAAAACTGAGAAAACAACGCATATAGAAAATCAAACATGTTACCTTGAATTTCCGTTGCAGGTAGGCAAATCCCTGACACGGCCGCGTTTTCTACCAGAAGGAGGCCTGAATTTGAAACCTGACGGCCACCGATCCCACGGCACCGATTCAATCAGGCCCCCGAGAACATCTACCTGCTGCGCCCCGTCCATGCCCGCACAATCAAAATGAAAACCGCTCTTGCAACAATCACACGACGAAGCGTCGTATCCTCGGAGAATCATCGTCGGTTCATAGTCTCCTGCGGATATTAGAGACACGCAACCGCCGAATGATCTCGACTGGAGAAATTGGCGTCTTATTCGTCGGTGAAATCCAAAGGGCGGTCGTCGTCCATCCATGGTTAATCTCTTCTCTGCAGTACGACCGCCATATATTTATTCCAAAACCTTTCGATCCTAAAATATCTTAATCTATAATTAAAATAACATATGATATAAATTATTAATGTAAATTATTACTTTTTTTTTCCATGTTCTCAAGATAGTTTTGACATATTTCACACATGTTTTCACCTTCTCATGCATCTATGTTTTCTCCTTATCCCTTAAGGTAATATTTAAACTGATATTCACCATGAGTTATTAAAAGTTATTTCATTGTCTCTTATTCAATTGTTCTAGAACTCTTGGTCTCGCTTTCGATCTTTTGATTCTTTTCTCTTGATGTAAATCGAACACATTTGTGGAGTCGTTTAAATATGTTTGATTTTAAATATATTGGATTTTAAACTGTTATACAATTTTTTTGCATCGATAGGCTGTAATTGGAATCATAACTTTTATTTTTCAAATTGTATTAATATGTAAAGACCAATCGTAACTTATATCATCATTAAATATTCTCAAACAAAACCAGTGAAACTTCAAAATCGTTAAAATTCACGACTCTCGCTGCATTGCACGGGTACACAACTAGTATGAATATTAATTAGATGTTGGTATATATAGGGATAAATTATACGACACGTATCAACATGTTATTTAAATTTCGATGGTTTTATTGTATCTAGATCTAGTTGGTAAATATATCAATTTAAATGAATGTGTAACTTCAACTTTTCGATACAGCTTTTTTTCGATTGGTACAAACCAGACAAATAGAAAATATTGAAAGTTTATGGTAGTGTTTGGTACGTATAATGAAGTAAATTGAACATGACAATAAAATAGGAGTGGATTAGACTTGACAAGATATCAATCTGATTTTTGGCACGATTAGAACTTGACAAATTATCCTTATATATTATTTAATGATTTTATATGGTGGTTGCTTTGTGGTTGTGGTGGAAATAGGGTGGATATTTTGGCAGAGGTGGTCGTGATGGTGGTGGAGGTAGATCAGAGAATTAGAGCAGTGGAGAAGGAGTAGGGCCTGTAGCTCAGAGAATTAGAGCTCGTGGCTACGAACCACGATGTCGGGGGTTCGAATCCCTCCTCACCCATAACCGGCCCAAAAGGGAAGTGCCTTTCCCTATGGGGATAGGAAAATTAGTAGAAGGTAGGGGCAATGGATAATGTGATAATGAGAGTTAAAGTGAGAAACGTAATAAGGGATTTGGAATCTTGATCGCTTTTAATCTCATCCACCCATGAATCATGCTTGATACGGGGATTGATGGTGCATCTCTTCATAATGTGCATTAGTGCATCAAATGGTGGAGATTTCTTCTTACGTTTCTCATTTTAACTCTCATTTTCACCGGAATCCACCCCTAGATGTTAGTGGTATGTGACCGACGGTGGTTATATAGGACGTTGAACTGATGGACAATGGTACCAATGGCATCCAATAGTGGTGGAGGTGGCGATCGACAATGGTGAACATGATAGTTGTGAAAGAGGTTGAGGTGGTAGGGCTAATGTGGTAAAAGGTATAGATGGTGGCTCTACATCTTTTTATCCTTGAGATTTTTCTCATGTTCAGTTGTAATCAACAACGTTGCATATCATGTTATGTTGTAGATTCTCATAGACAATACCATAATTTTCAGTGCGAATGAATGAGACATGTCAGCTTATTTGTGTATATGAGAAAAATATCATCGCATTGGAGGATATTTGCAAGACTACTACACAAACATATCGAAGAAGTCGAAGGGCCTCAAAGTGCAATACAATTCTACATTTAAAAAGACATCATCTTTGTATGTGTACATGTTTTATTAGTCAAACCGCATACCTGTTACGTTGTGACCAACAACGAAAAGGTCATTTTAGTAAATTTTACTTCTCTTGATTTGTATGGTAACATATACTATAAAATGAAAGGTACAAATGTGTTCAAAATCTTACCATCTATACTGGAGCTGAGATTATAAGCTAACTGCAACTCCCTTTCCTGTTATATCTGTTTCGAAATAAGACAACAGTGAAAAAAAAACCCAAGATTCCAGTTTACATGAAACTGTGAAAAAGTGCAGCTATTTAGAAGAAGCGCGAGATTCCAATTTACAACACGAAGTTAGAAAATGATAACTTATTACATAACTCATATAAATAAGAGTAATATTTATATCAGTTAAAACTATTTGTAGCTCATCATGACCATATTAAATAAATTTATACTCATTTAACATAATTTGGAATTAAATAGTAGTTAAAAGTTGCATATTTATACGCTTATAATCATATCGATCATGCAGTTGCTCGTTTTTAATAAAACCGTTTATATTATTTCATTTGGGTTATATATCTATTCACATGTCTTATTATACTACACCAACAGCATACTTAGATAACCTATAAAATTGTAAAAATCTCGAGAACTTGTGCATCATGTTGGCTTGAATTTAATGTATTGATTAACATATATCGTGTTTTACAACATGAACATTTTTTTATGTGTTTGTGATACAAAAATATACAACTACGTCTTGAAGAAAAAAAAAACTTATGATTGCATATTTAATTATCTAAAATAATTTCATTTAGCCTCATCTTTTTGTGGGTTTACATATGTCTGCCCCTGATTGGAAGTCTTTATTCAACCAACTAAACTAGTACAGGTGTGTAAAATGAGAATTTTCACCATTGGGCAAAAATCGTGAAACCTGTCAAACCAGATATTATGGTTTGTCTGATATGTTCCATTAACTTTATAAATTGCTTAGATCAGTTTTTTTTATTAACCTGGATATCCAACACGCTATGTGAGCCGACTAATCCCATGGTGACCACCCGCTTTGCGGGTATTCCAGAGTCACCTCATTTGAACCTCCGTGGCCATAAGAGGATTTTTATTCCTCAATGGATCGAACTTGGGACCTTCAGACACTTTTGACCTTTGGAACTCAAGCTCAAACCAATCTAACACCATCCTTGTGGTTTACTTAGATCAATTTTTAGAAAGACAAATTGCACGGAAAAGTAATGTACTTCAAATTAATTTCTATTTTGGGTAACATATTTTCAAAACTTTCATTTTGATAACTAAGATGTAAAATTTTAAATATTTAAGTACGCGGGTAACCGGTTGAAGACTACTTTTAGATTAAAAAAGACTAATTTTAGATCAAAAAAATCAATGTCATTAACCACGTCAACAAATAATATTGAGTTGGATATCACATCACTCGCTACATCAGCATGATAACCGGTTAATGCTTTAACCAGTTATCCGAATACTTAAATGCTTACAACTTTACATTTTAGGTACCAAAATAGAAGTTCTGAAAGTACGTTACCCAAAATCGAAATCAACTTAAAATACGTTACTTTTTCATATAATTTGTGCTTTTTAGAATTATCAAACAAAGTTTACAGATTTAACTACAATTTTACAGTTTAAATCAATTGAAGAAAACAAAACCAAAATTCATGGATATTATATTACTTCTTTTGTTTGTTTGTTTGTTTGGTGGAGAGTGGACTAATCATTTAAGACAAATGGTTATTGCCATTACTTCAAGGGATACTTTCTCTAATTCAAATTCAAAATTTGCCCCACTTTTTTGTTTTGCATTTAAATATAATAAATACTAGTTAGATATTACAAAAAGTATCGATGTAACGAGTTAAATCTACTGGATGTTATATCAAAACGTTATTAGTACAGATCAAATCGTCTTTTGTTGTTTTTCTAATTGGGTAGAATTGCATGAAAAAGTAACGCATCTAACTTGATTCCTATTTTGTGTAACGTACTTTCAGAACTTTTATTTTGGTACATAAGATGTAAAGTTTAAACATTTAAGTACCCGGTTGAAGACTAATTTTAGATTAAAAAAATCCACGTCACTAATCATGTCAGCTAATAATACTGAGTTGAATACCACATTACTCAACACGTCAACATGATAACCGGTTAATGTTTCAACCGGTTACTCGGATATTTAAATATTTAAAACTTTATATCTTAACTACCATAATAAAAGTTTTGAAAGTATATTATCCAAAATAAGAATCAAGTTAAAGTGCATTACTTTTTGATACAATTTGTTCCTTTTAATTTTATAAACAATTAATATATTAAAAATTATATAAAATTGAAGAATTGTATATATTTTGAGCGGTTTTAAATAATTGGACCGGTTTTATTTTCAACTACTTTTTTTATTTCACTATTTTGATTGGTCAACAATAAATATATAAGCAAAATTTATATATTTTTATTTTTATATATTTTCTTAATCTCCTTTTATGTTATTTTCATATTTATTTTTATTTTTATATATTTTCTTAATATCCTTTTATGTTATTTTATTTAAAATACTGTGGTTTTTACTAGCATTTTCAGTAGAATTTTTAAAATGTATTAAAATGTAAATTCTTTATCAGAAAATTATATTCAACTTCATCAGTTTCCTTATTTTAAATATTACAACATTGATTATATTACTAAAATATTTCATACATTTAATAAAATATTATTTCTGCTAAACATTTCATTTAAAAGTTTCTTATCCATGAGAATATAACAGGACAAATTGCATTAAAAAGTAACGTATTTTAACATTGATTCATATTTTGGGTAACGTACTTTCAAAACTTACATTTGGGTACATAATATGTAAAGTTTTAAACGTTTAAGTGCCTGTGTAATCGGTTGAGCGTTGACCGGTTATCATGTTGATGTGACGATTGACGTGATATCCAACTCAGTATTATTTGCTAATGTGGTCAGTGACATGATTTTTTTAATCTAAAATTAGTCTTTTTTTTAATCTAAAATTATTTCCCAACCGGTTAGTCAGGTACTTAAATGCTTAAAATTTTACATCTTATGTATCAAAATGAAAGTTTTGAAAGTACGTACCTCAAAATAGGAATCAAGTTAAAATACGTTACTTTTTTCATGTAATTTGCCCAATATAATAAAAGGTATTTTTCTCCCATTATAATCATTTTTGAACAGTTCTCTAAATTTGAAGAATTTTACACACTCTTAGCTACTTTATTCATTTTGGAGATTGGTCCGAAGAATGTATCAGAGCAAAAAACTTGACAAAAATCCCAAAACCCCCATTTTGAAAAATCTGTTGAAGATGCTGTAATTTTACTTTTCAAATCTTGTGTATAAATTAGATGTTTTTACAAAAACCGAACTTTTTATTTTTTGAAATAGAATAAATATGTGCATACATTTTACTTTTTAGACCCTACGTCCAAATAAAATAAGGGGATGTTTGGTTAGAGGTATTAGACAATATTAAATGAGAATGAAAATAAAAGAAACTGTTTGATTTTATATAATAAAATGGGTTTATTGCCCTAGAAGCCTAAAATTTTATTCCAGATTAAACTGAGGGAACATTATCTGTCATTTTTATTTTCATTCCTCTGACTGAACCGAATACCTCAAAATTAAATTTTGTTTTTTGTAATGAAAATTGTTTTTGATTTTTGAAGGCTTTTCCCCCAATAATCACCAACTAATGATAAGGCATCGCTTTTAACTTTGGGGTTGAAACGTCACTTCAGAACATAAATCAAGGGCCATTCTGAAAATTCCACCACTCCATTTAATCGCCATCACTCCGCCTCTCGGCGGTGACTTGTTAATTTCTCGTGTTTGCCGGCCAACGTCGGGTAAATACCATTACTTCTCGTCGTTTACCGACGCCGGTGACAGCATCACCATCGAAAACCCTAAGAATCGCATTCTCTAAGTGTAATCATTGCTTCAATCTGATCATTTCGCTCCTGTTTTCCTGTTAGGTAATTTGTTATTTATCGCTTCAGTTATGGTCAGTTTTTTACTGGTGTGTACTGTTTATGTGTGTGTGTGTGTATGGGATTTTTTTGTGTATTATATTCGCTTAATAATTGATTGTAGATTTCAAATCTGTACTCATGGTTGTCTGAACTACTTGCTGAATGCAGATAGGGGTTTTATTGTTGGATCTGTCGGTTTGAATCTAGTCCTCCTGGTCAATGCAAACAGAAAATCCAAGGTTTTTCCTGCTTTCTTCCTGTTTTTGCTTGTTGTAGTTGCTGTAAGTCTCTGAATGATCTTCAATCAATAGCTTCAGTCTACAAATAATTTGTTATTTATAGCTTCAGTTATGGTCAGTTTTTTACTGGTGTGTACTGTTTATGTGTGTGTATGGGATTTTTTGTGTATTATATTTACTCAATAATTGATTGTAGATTTAAAATCTGTACTTGTGGTTGTCTGAACTACTTGCTGAATGCAGATAGGGGTTTTATTGTTGGATCTGTCGGTTTGAATCTAAACTTCCTGGTCTTTGCAAACAGCAAATCCAAGGTTTTTCTTGCCTTCTTCCCCTTTTTGCTTGTTGTAGTTTCTGTAAGTCTCTAAATGATCTTCATTATGAAGATGCAATCCAGACATCCTTTGAACCATCGGTCGGTGAAAGCATTTAGTTTCCGGATTGTACTTGGAGTACTCTACAGGTTTCAATGCAGATTCATGTGTCATATGGTCTAATATGCATAAGATTTGTGCCTATGGTGATAAGGTTTCGATTCTGATGTATTTGCTGCTGTTGAAGAAACTTTGATGCTTCAATGACACTTCTTGACAACATATGTTCTTCTTTAAGTGCTCGATTCATGAGTTTATTAGCTATTGTTTCATTTTATTACCATTAACTTCAGTTTAGATTTTCCAGTTAGGATCTGAGCCTGCGTTATGTTTAAAGTAACTACAACAAGCAAAAAGGGAAGAAAACAAAAAAAAAAAAAACCTTGGATTTGCTCTTTGTATTGACTAGAAAGTTCAGATTCAAATCAACAGTGCATTCAGTAAGAAGTTCAAACAACCACGATATAGATTTGAAATCTACGATCAATTATTAAGCGAATACAATACACAAAAAAGCCTATACACACATAAACAAATACACACCATGCCACCAGTAAAAAATGACGAGAACTGAAGCGATAGATAACAACTTACCTAGTGGAAAAAATGGGAGCAAAATGATCAGATTGATTGTAAATTTCAAATCTGTACTCGTGGTTGTCTGAACTACTTGCTGAATGCATATTGGGGGTTTTATTGTTGGATCTGTCGGTTTGAATTTAAACTTTCTGGTCAATGCAAAGAGCAAATCCAAGTTTTTTTTATTGCTTTCTCCCCCTTTTGCTTGTTGTTGTTACTGACTTACTGTAAGTCTGAAGTCTCCACATGTTCTAAAGATATGACCTTGTGTTATGTTTTGGTTGGCATTAAATAATTGATGGGTTATCTTATATGCTATATCGATTATTTATATGCTAGAATTCTTCCATTGGTACCCGGCATTGTATATCTTAGGGACACGTTCGAAATGATCAAATAGTTTGGTCGCCAACTTATCTTTCCGTGATGGAAGTTTGCACTCTGCTGTCATGTCACACCAAATATGATTTTGGTACTGACCTTTATAATTAGCTAGCAGGTGTTGCTATATGCACTCATATTTATGATAGAATCATGTCAGATCATGCATTGAAAATTTAAAAAGTAAGTCTTTATATTGATGTGTGTGAGGAGGAAATTAGTAGTTGGGGGTGCATTTAGCAATATTATATAGGGGTGGAACCTTAGCTAAATGATCACTTTGTATGCATTCAATATCAGTACATGATCACAAACAATACCAAATGTCAGTAGTTTACGAGATTATGTAGCCAATGCCAAACGTTTTATGTAACTCTATTTCAAAGCCTTGTGCAACTGAAAAGATGTAGTAATGTACTAAGGTGTTGCAACATTAAATCAAATTTACAATAGGACCATAAGCCTTAACATGTTTGAAACTTATGGCAATGAAGTGCTGTCTTGAAAATGGGAATTGAATCCAGTGATTGTGTTCTGTAATTCTTTTTAGGTGAAATTGGTCGGTTTCCCTTTGACTGTCTAATTGGACATCAGTTGGCTGATCATGAATCATTTCTATGTTATTATTTGATGCTGCCCTTTGTTGATGCTATTAGTGGAATGAGAGTAACACCCTTTTGTGCAAACTCTTACCATAATTGAGATAGTTTTGATATTATGTATGTTTGTCATTTATGTTTACATAAATTATACCGGAGGAAAATCACTGTATTGATTACTGGTCTGGTAATGCATATATGCGTCACATCATAGTTATTTTTGCAGTTGGGTAAAGCATATATGGTGAATTGCAAAGGGTGTATTGGAATGTGGGAGAATGTGTAGAACCCCCAAATTGCTCTCCAAAGAGTCTTTAAGAGAGAAGGGAGGTTCCAACATATACAAGAGAAGTGGTCCAAGTCTAGCCGGTGTAGGACTCCAATCAAATGTTCACATTGCCATTTCTTATTCTGCTATCATACAATGTTAAACATATAATGGTCTACTTTATGTTTGAACCTGAATCTTCTGAAGTTGCAAGTCTTCAATATTTTTCGACACTTTGGATTGTTTACTTGGTTCATGAGTAATCGTCACGTTCTACTTTGTAATAGACACACTTCAGTTGTGCAATGTCTATGTTTCAAATTCTTTTTTTTTCCCACTTAATTGCAGCTGCACAATGATGTCTGAAACTGCTCTTGGAGATCTTGATTTGGTGCCTAAATCCGAGAGGACAAATGAGAGCTCGAGTAAAGACGACTTAGCTAAGCCATACGTTGAACATACCGATGTAAAGGTTGGAGGAAATCAAAGAAAAACGATAATTTCTTTGGATGAACCAACTATGAACGGAAACGAGGTTGAACTTGTTGGTGCAGACATGGTGGCTGCAGAAGTTGAATACATTGAATCTGAGAAATTGGATGATCTAGAAGATGTTGATAAGAGTCTTAAGGTAGATATGCATCTATTATATCACTTGCTGAGTAATTATCTACTCCCTCCGTCCCAAAATTAGTCTCCCCTTCTGAAAAGTAAGTGCATACTTTATCATTCTACCCTTAATTATGAGATGGAGAAATTAATTACTCCATCTATTGTTAAGGGTAAAACTGTCATTGAGTTCATTAAAGTTGTAATAATTACACATTTCTAAAACTGTGCTCGTTTTTCATTATGGACTCTTATTTTGCGATAGAGGGAGTATTTATTATGGTTTCTGATTAAAAACTCTAGCATTAGTCAAATGGTGGAACTACCGTTACGTATTGCATTTCTCATTTTCTCCCAGATGCTTCTAGCTGACCTGGAGTCTAAAGACTGGGTTTTGCTGTGCGAGACACTCAACAATGTACGGCGTTTCTCGATTTACCACAAAGAAGCATTGCAAGATATATTGTAAGCTTGATTCTTTTTTTTTATTACATGCTTGAAAAGCGTAGGATTATACCCTTCTCGGATATCCTTTGTTTGTAGACTGTTCTGAGGGGATGTTTGGTTGTTTCTCTATTAAACCCTGTATGGATAAAGTTGACTGTGTGGATTAATATAGACAGGTTGGGTTTTTTCATAGGTGGAAGTAGTGTGTTTTTTAATTGCAAGGGACATGTTCGGAAAAAACTTGACTTTTTGCTTAAATCTCCCCCTACAATCACCAAATGAGGCACTTCCTGTATCATCAAGCCACAACCAAACAGTCATGTATATCTGACCGAATAAGCTGAGTCCCATTTAGCTGACTGAATAATCCACTTTCTATATCATTTAGCCACCACCAAATACTCATATATAGCTGACCGAATAAGCTCTGAGTCCCACTAAGCTGTTAACAAACAGGTCCTGACTCGTTGCCAAAACATTCTATTAAACAGGGAAAATGTGATTTCCCTTCTTGTGAAATCTTTGAAGAATCCAAGAAGTGCGGTTTGTAAAACCACCATCATGACTTGTGCAGACATTTTCAAAGCATTTGGGGACGACATAATCAATTCGTTGGATCCTCTGGTAATTGCTTTATTCCTTTTGCACTCTGCTCTTCATTATAATCATTTCCTTCTCTTTTGAATGGTTTTTTTCTTTTTATAAAACTGATTTCAAGTTTTATTCTTGCTCCGATATGGTGAAACATCTTTGCTTTTAGCTTGTTCAACTTCTTCTCAAGTCCTCTCAAGACAAGCGATTTGTATGCGAGGTTGCAGAAAAAGCTTTAATAACTTTGACAATTTGGGTCTCTCCCATTTTGTTGCTACCAAAGTTACAACCTTATTTTAAGAACCGCAATCCTCGTATCCGTGCGAAGGCTTCTATGTGCTTTTCTCGTAGTGTGCCACGATTGGTAAGTACTTGGAGTCAAACTGCTCAACTTCAGTATCATGTTGATTTATGATATCCCTTGTATAGTTTAAAATGTTTTTGCTTGCTGTTCTTCTCCACAATGAGCAATATAATTACTTGACATCAGAAAGTCTTTGCTTCAGCTCATTTAGGTTTATAACCTTAAATGAAATTTTAATTAAATCCATGACCTCTGGACCTATTAAAGAAAAAATGGCTTCATACTCATCAAAAGGTCATTGATTTAATTAAAATCTCATTTAAGGTTATATACTTAAATATCTCCGGATGGGATGATTGTTTGCATGTAGGAAGTAGTTTCTGGGTAGGGATTCGAATGGATGCATGATCAACAAAAAACAAAGTTGGTTGTGTTTTAAAGGATGCGAAAATGGAAATCGTTTATGCATGCCACAGTTTTCGCCTACCTTTGTTTCTCTATGTTCTATCACTTGTCGGGAGGTTTAAGATATCTGTGCAGAAATGCTGTGTGCTGTCCTTGTTTGCAGCGGCGGACCTAGGATTTTTGCCCAATCTGTGCACCTTTAAGGTGGATCAAAGGACTGTAAAGTCGTGGTTTGATCATGTGAAAAAGTCAATGCGATTTGACCCAAATAAAAGTCAATTGTGTCGATTTGAGGAATAACATACATTTTTCCAAATGGAATCAACCTTTTTTACCAAGACTTAAGCCAATGCGTTTTTAGGGGAATTCCACCGTTTTGGAGAGATTCTTTAGCTTTTTGGTTGGTTTCGAGTTCTTCTTTAAGTTTTTTGGTTGATTTTGAGGGATTTATTTGGGTTTTTGGTTAATGCCCCTTGTATTTTCTAATATCCTGGATCACCCCTCAAATTTTAGCGGGTGCATGTTCTACTTGCAAAAATCGATTGAACAGGTACACGGGACCCCGTAGGTCCTTTATAGGTCCGCCCCTGGTTGTTTGGTATCTTGTGGATGAAACCGTCAAACTTAACTTTTAGGATGTAATTACTGGAAATCATATTATATTACCTTGACAAGGATTATCATACTACTTTTATGATGATAACATTGTTTTTTTTTTGTTATTTTGTTTCTTGTAAAGGGTGCCGAGGGAATCAAAGAATACGGGATTGACAAACTGATTCAAATAGCTTCATCGCAGCTGAGTGACCAGCTCCCCGAGTCACGAGAGGCGGCTCGTACCCTTCTCTTGGAGCTACAGACTGCATATGAAAAATTTCCCGTTTTGGCGCCGGAACAAGATGTATCTTCCGAGCAACCTCAGGTACTTTCTTGGGAACAATTCTGTGAATCTAACCTTCCGAAGTTAAGTGCCCAAGCTGTTCTTCGTGTCACTAGCATTCCACGAGAAGGTCTCATTTCAGGTTTGTAACACCAAACTATACGCAATCTATTTGGAGTTACAGTGAGTACCGCTTGATTTTTCCCGTTCCCCATTGAGTATTTTTTTACTTGTAAATGCTTTTGCATTAAGTTTGAAAAGGTGATTGAAGTATGTAGTTGAGATATGTGTCTTAAAACTTTCTTACAGCCATTGTTGTTCGATTTCAAAATGCGTAATATACAGTCCTATTATATGACATAAGCTTCCGTTTTTGCCTTTGAATTGACCTTACACATGTGGGTTTTGGGCCCGTTTACAAAATGCTTACTGGGCAAGTGCTTAGCGTGTGCCACTTACCTTACTGGATGAGCATGACAAAGATCAAGAATCTTACCCAGTAAGAGGCATAGCAAAGACCGAGAAACTTACCTGGTAAGGGAGAAAACTCTTACTTGATTAGTGCTTACCCACAATCCATTTTGATGGCCGAGAATGTTACTGATAAGGTAAATGCCGGTGACGACTTTTGCCCATAGATGATTACCAGTAAGCGTTTGGTAAACGGCTCCTTAGTTAAATTGGTGATGTCACTAGTTTTTTTTGTAGTTGCATTAAATACAGTTGTTGAACCTTAAATTCAATAACTTGTTAAAGTTGTACAGCACATATAGTACAGTTTTTAATCCCTAACAGCCAGGTAATGGGGACATGAAGCAAATATAGAATCTATTGATAGATATTAGAGAAAGCTGATAAGAACTAGGGGTTCTGAGTTGACTCAGGTGAAGGCATTTACTTTTGCATTGCTATATACCCCCCTTTTAATGTCATAATCAAGTCAGGTCATGCATTGGAAATTGAAAAAGTAGGTCTTGATGTTGATCTGTGTGAGAAGAAAATTAATAGGTAAGGATGCATTTAGCAATATATAGGAGGGCTAAGGATTGTGTGAAAAAGAGAGTTAAGGTCAGAGGCGTAGGAAGAGATCTGGACCCTTGATCACCTTTAATCTCAATCCCACCCATGAATCGCGTTTGATACGGGGATTAGTCTGGTGCATCTCATTCTAACGTACATCAAAGGGTGGATATCCCTTCTTACTTTAACTCTTCTTTTCACCGGAACCTAATCCTATATAGGAGTGCATTTAGCTTACCCCAATTTGAAATTGCACAACAGTACTAGACTAGTTAGGCTAGTCAATACTTGTGATAAGAACAAAGCGATGATGTGGCTTTACGTAAAGGATGGACTACTTTATTCTAGGCAGTACTTGTGATAAGAACAAAGTGATGACGTGGCTTTATGTGATTGATGAACAGGGAGGGGACATATGGGAATTGGGGATATCAGATTTTTATTCAACCCGGACCACTTACTTTAAAGACCACTTAAGATCGGGTTGGCACGGACACCCCCTCCCCCCGGCCAGGTCCATCCGTTCTGATCCCTACCCAAAAATTACTTTCTAGATGCAAACAATCTGAACCACTTTCATCCACGAGGACCACCCAGTTTGAATTTATGAGCTGCACCTAGAAGTGGAGTGGCTCTGGTTTCGGCCAGAAATGAGAAGAAAAAATTTGTGACGATGAATGACCAGGATTCTGTAGGTTGCTTCTGAGGTTATTGGCTTGGCAATCGTAGTCGCTATTTTACTTTTATTTATGAGAGCTGCATGTTTGCTAGACTTTGACTATCTATTCCGTGATATATGTTTGAACCTCCATTGGCTTTTTGAGAGAGTTATTTAACGGGGTACCACATATTCTCTCATGGTATTAGAGCCAAGGTCTACCACTCTAGGACTCGCCATGTTGGGGCAACTTATACCCGTTTAGCCCCCTCTTGAAAGTCCGTGCCCGTGTAGCCTTCTCTTGACACCCTGGGACAACTTGTGCCCGTCTAGCCTCCGCTAGAGGGGACATTTTAAAGTTGCACATTGACTATACTCAAGACTTATTCTTCTCAATATATGTTGGAACATCTCTGCCCTTCTCAAGAGGGGACATTTTAAAGTTGCACATTGACTATACTCAAGACTTATTCTTCTCAATATATGTTGGAACATCTCTGCCCTTCTCAAAAGTCTCTTTTGGGGAGTAATCTAATAGAGTTGCATATATTCTCGTATAGTATTAGAGCAAAATTCTACCACTCTAGGACTCCTTCTAGCCCCCTCTTGCAGTCTCGGACAATCTGTGCCCGTCTAGCCTCCATTGGAGGAAGCGTGTTAGAGTGTCTTCTATTCAATATATGTTGGAAACTTCCTTGTCTTCTCAATGAGCTATTTTGGAGAGTAATCTAATGAGATTTCACATACTTCCGTATTGATGATGATTTAATATTTTATATATCTAGGGAAGCGTTGAGTGGAAGAATGGGTGGCGTCATTATCAGTATCAGTATCAGTATCAGTATCAGTAGTATATGGTGAAGATGTGTAGAGAAAGCAGGTTCCCTTAGTCTTGTTGTGACCAAATGAGTCATAGAAACAGAGTTTTGATAGATCTTATTTTGGTGTTTGATTGGCTTGAAACTGCTGTTATACCCCAGGGTTAATATATTAAAAATTCCTCAAAATGCGTGAATTGAGAACATCTACACCAGATTCTTTAAAATAGAGTTTTTGGTTTCACAGATTGAGAACAAAGTCATATCTTCACCACTTCTTACCAAAAATAGTTCAATAAAATCAAAGAACAGAATAAAGACTAAACCAAACCTGATCATAGTCACCTATGTTTGGTTCCCAGGTTATCTTAACTTTGGGTTTATTTCAGTTTTAATACTTCTTTTTTAAAAATCGGTTTTCGGTTTGATATGGTATGGTACAAAACCCTAATTTGAAAGAAGTTGTCTTAAATTTATGTTATTTAAGCAAAAACAAACTCAAATATGTATTCTGTTTATGGTTCAGTTTAGAACCAAGTCGGTTATATACAAGGCTGGATCTAACCTTTAAGCACGGGGAAAGATCCCTAGTCAAAAACTAAAAATCTTTATTGATTAGCTTAAATTTTCTATTTCAACCATCATCTTACATGGTTTCCCACCAATCTCATATGGCCATATGCTTCCCTCCTCTAAGTCCCATCCAATGTGCCCCCACCCCATTAATTTCCTGGATCTACCATTGGCTATATATCAAAACCAAACAAATTTAAATCAGTTTGGAGTACGGCTTCATTTTCTTTTTTCTGGTTTCACTCTCGGTTCCAATTTACAGGTACAAATAATATTTATTTGTTTGATTATAATTACTACTACAAAATATATCAGAAATTTCATTTAAATGTGAGTTTTTATTAAAAGTCATTTTAGATGTTTAAGTGGTGAATCTTTTTTTTAAGAAACGAAAGATTATTAAAAGGAAAAATATTTACAGATAAAGCACCAAATTAACTTTAAAAAAAATAAAAATAAATATGGAGGGTTTCCAAAAATAACCAGAGTGCATGAAGAAAATGAAAATAATCATTTTTTTTAATGTTTGCATGGCAAATTTTCAAAGGAATTCGTCTTCTCATTAATATTAGTAAAAAGGTACCGAAAGAATCCATGCAAATAACCAAATTGTATGGTTTATTGGCGATTTCTTGAAAGCAACCAATGACAGAGTGATACATGTTATTTCGTCAAATGACGAATTCTTTTGACGATTTGGCTGGTTATTTGTGTCAATATGAAAAAAAACCTGGTTATTTTCTCGCTTTCTTTATACTCTGGTCATTTTGAAGATGACTCCTTAAATTATATTTCAAAAGTTAAATTAAATCATTATCAAGTTGTATCTTATATAGCTCAGTTGATAAAGACATAGTAACTTTGCTTAAATACAAAATAAATCATGCGTTTAATCTTGGGCCCCTTAAATAAAAAATGTTCCCCTCACATTTTCAATTGGCAAAAACGTGGGATGACTTTACCTAAATACAAAAATAAGCCATGGGTTCAACCTTGGGCCTCCCACTAATCTTAGTGGCTGAGTGGCCCAAAAAATATCCCCTCATATTGATGTCCTTAAAAACAGGTTCCATATAAATTAGTTAAAGTTGTCGATGAAAACTTTTTTGCCCGTATATAGCTCTAATAACCCTTTTTGGCTTAAAAATATATACAAAAAAGATGTACTTGGTATTACAAAACAAATAGAAAATGACACAAAAGGCCCCTCTACTATTTACTAATTACAAAACACACATAAACATAAACATTTCCATTTGTAATAACTTGTAGCATATGAAGTTTATGTTGTACCTCTCTCTTGTGGCAGATTGATGTGAGCTTCTTGGCTTGTACCATATGCAGTTTATGTTGTACCTTTCAGAAATTAGGCTCATCTGGTTTAAACAACTGAGGCATCTTAAGACTAGTAGTCGAATCAACCGAAGCCACTTTCCGATGACCGATTCCCTTTCTCGTACTTGCAGCAAACCTTGACGCCAAAATGGTCGCTCCAACTCCGATCGGTTGACTGCCACCACCCGGACCTATAACAATATCACGTTATAGGAATCCTTAGGAACACAAATACACAAAAAAAGCCCTAGTCCAAAACCCAGAAAAAGAAAGCCTTAAAACCCAATCAGACCAACTTCTTTTTCAAGGCTTGGTTAAAACTTGGCCAGAAAAGCCCGAAAAAGCCGACTTGAGAAACCAGATCGGCCCCCTTTCAACCTGGGCTAGAAAAAGCTGAACCTTTTTTTGCTTACTGAAAACGGGCTTAGAAGGCTTTTTCAATCTGGCAAAAGAGCGGCCCTCTTTCAACCCAAAGCACGGGCCCGGGCTTGAAAAAGATTGGATTCTTTTGCTTACTGAAAAACAGGCTTGGAAGAGTGAGCCCATGCTCGAAAAGCATCCACTTTTAGAAGTACGTATTTTCCAATTCTACCTTAATTATGAGATGAATAAATTCATTACTCCCTCTATTATTAAGGGTAAAATTGTCATTTGTAAATTAAACTTGCGATACCTTCACTAGATGGCGAACCAGCACTGCTGTCGGACTCGTAATAGTAACCATCCCCGTCGCTTTCCTGAAGATAGTAGGCATTTTCTTGGAGGGCGAGCTCCTTCGCGAGCTTTCTTCGCTTGTATTTTCGCCAAGCGGCTTGTAAAAAACACGCACCCCATGTCCTCCATTGGTGCGAGTAGTACCGAAATGCATGTTGCAACTTCTTGCTATGAAGATACTTGAATTGGTTGGCAACGAATTTGAGATCTTCGGCTTGCAATGCGAAGCCTTCGACTTCGGTGAGGGTTCGGACGGATCTTGTGGAAGACGGGTAGTTGGTGGGGTTAGGGAGCAAGGCCCATGTGAGTAGTTCTTCGCCACAGAAGTCGCCGGGTCGGAGGGTGATGGAATTGAAAAACCCCGATCTTCCGCCATCAGTTGTCGAGCTTTCCAATTGTCCTCTGATAATAAACAACATTTCACTTACGGGATCGTCTTCACGAACAATGTACGTTCCCTGTGTGCTTAAGGATGAAACAAGTCTTTCGCAGATGGCATCGAGAAGGTTATCGTCCATTTGTGAGAAGAAAGGTACCTATTGAAATAATTTGTCAAAATACACCGGAATCCATTAGATTACTTTTCAAAAGAGTCAAGAATGGAGGTTCCAACATATAGGGAGGACAAATGGTTCAAGTATAACCTATGTGGTACTCTGGATGCCCCCTTCAATGGAGGTTAGACGGGTATAAATTGTTACAAAGGGCCGAAAGGAGGGTAGCCGGGCACAAACCATCTAAGAAAGTTGAGCACCCAGAGTGGCGGAGGTGCTCATTTGAAGTGATAAAGTCGTTCGATATGTTTTTAGCCGAATTCCACCATTTCGAGAGATTTTTTAGGTGTTTTTGTTGATTTCAATGAACTTTTTTTTGGGGGGGGGGGGGTTGTTGATGTTCTTTCTACACTTCTAATGTCCTAGAACACCGCTCAAAGTTCAGCAGGTGCACCTTTCATACTCAAAAAATTTACGGGTTAAATGCATGAAATAGCAATCTACTTTCATAAAATTTCTTATTATAGCATTCTACTTTTGTTTTTCTTTATTACAGCAATATACTTTCAAATTATTTTTTATTAAGGCATTGTACTTTAAAAAATCTATCCATAATAGCAATGGGTAACCTGTTACCTTTTAAACCGGTTAACCCTTTGACTTTTTTGCTTGTGTGGCTTTAATGAGATGATGTGGATGCCACATCCTTTTGATGACTTAACTAAAATAAAAATAAAAATATATTTCAAATTATTATTAATGATTTTCATTTTTCATTGCTATGATCTAAAAAAATATTTAATATTTTTTACTTTTTCTTCTTAAGTTGCATTCAAATTAAATATTCTTAGAATAAAATATTTATTAAATAAATATGAAACATTATTTTTGAGATATATTTTGTTTGTAAAAAAAGTAACTTTTCTTATTTTATGTTATTCAAATAAATACATATCTTTTAAAATTCTCTTTAAAATATTAACGAAATAAATTGTTATCTACAATTTTTTAATATTGTTATATTAATAAATAATTCAAAAAAGTCTAATTAATTTAATATATTTATACGTCAAGTAAAAAGTTTTTGAACAAATATAATATATTCTTTAAAAGATAATATTTTTTGGTAAAAGAGAACAATTCTTATTTTCCTTTTTTTCAAAAAACACATATTTTTTTAAAATGTTAGCGAGAAAAGTTGTGTTCTACTAGTTTTATTGATATTGGTATATTAATGAATAATTTAGAATTTTTTTTAATTCATTTAATACATTTATTAAATAACATGTAAAATATCTAAATATTAAAATTAAAAAAAACAGTGTTTATTAAAAACTAGTAGATGCTATAATAAAATAATTTTGAAAGTAGAATGATGTAATAAGAAAGTCACATCACTATAGTACATGTGGACAGTCTACGTGGACAATGAGGTGGCATGAAAACCTAGTATAATTGGTAAATTTAAATCAAAAGGTTACTCATTGCTATAATGGGTAAATTTTTCAAAGTACAATGTCCTAATAAAAAATAGTTTGAAAGTACATTGTTGTATTAAGAAAAACTGAAAGTACAATGATATAATAAAGAAATTTATGAAAGTAGATTGCTATTTTGTGCATTTTGCCCAAAAATTTACTTACGAAATTTGAGCAGGTGCACAGGCTCCTGTTCGGGCATGAATAGGTACTCCCCTTCATTCTATACTGACCCCGGCCCGGGCTGGCTTTTTGGGAATCAAGAGTGATAGGCATTGGTTCCGACACAAGTGAGTTAACATGGGTACTCCATTAGACTACACTCCAAAAGAAAACGGGACTGCAAGACTGGACTAGACCAACAAGAGTGAGGTAAGCTGCGGAAGGAACTCTAGAAGATTTTAGGGTTTTAATTTGCCACGTATAGTTTAGTAATTTACCAAACTTGTCCCTTCCCCTTATTTTGTTCCACCTATTTTGGTGGGACAAAAAATATAATTTTTGTCCCACTAATCTGGTCTAAATATCCCAGCAAGCAAACGAGGATTTACAAGTTTTTGTACAATCCTGTCATGTCCCGCGTACCAAACACATCCTAAAGGGGAAAAGAGAGTTTCTGATATATATGGAAGCTTAATACACCAGATATTCTGAATTTGAGGGGGCATGATTTTGAATTTTTTTTGTGAAAGCAAGTGCTTACCCACAAGAGCACCACCCTTACATACATTATTGGATAATGTTATCAGCCATCAAAAATGGATTATTGGTTAGCAACTTTTACCCGGTAAGCGCTTACCAACAATCCATTTTTGATGGCCAATACCAAATACTTACCTAGCAACTGTTTACCTTCCCATGACAAGGACCTAAAGTCTTACCGAGTAAGAGGCATAGCAAGGACAGGTAAGCCACTTTTACCCGCTAAGCGCTTACCGGGTAGAGTCTTTTCCCTCAGGTCCTTGTTATGTCTCTTACCCGGTTAGATTCTAGGTCCTTGTCATGGAAAAGTAAGCAGTTACTAGGTAAGTATTTGATAAACGGCCGTAAGATGGCAAGGAAATGAAGACATACTCGGCGAACAAGATTAAGGCATAGATGGCGTTGGATTTCACGACGGAGATCAATGGGTAAAGACTGCAAAATGGACTCTTCATCAACTCCTCTAGTTGCCAGCCATTTATACTGAACAAACCTCCGAACTCGGTCCTGTAAGTCTGGAGGTAATTGTCGATGCCGCATCCATTCCTCTGTATCTCTTTTCTTGATCCTCCATTCTTCAAGTCTCACCGTCATCGATTGCAAGTACGTCTTAAAATTATGATAATTGAAAAAGAATTAGTAGAAAGCCTCTCTATACACATGATTTGACTTGGATTCCAGGAGAGTTAAGATGAGAATGCATATTAGGATGAGATATGTACCGAATCAATCCCCATTTCAAGCGGGATTCATGGATAGGTTTAAGATTAAAGGTGATAAAGGATCAAGATCCTTTCTTACGTTTCTCACCTTAACTCTCCTTCTCACACGTTACTTCCCTATATATTTTTTCTTTCTATATTTAAATAAATGACAACATTGAAAGAAATTGTTTCTACACATTCATCAAGACTCGCAGCAAACACAATTATACATTTCGATCATAGAGTAAACTAAATTAAGTTGGGGTATTTTGGTCATTCCACTCTTTTTTGTCTTTTCCTATTTTAGCTTGGTAAATAAATTGTAGTGACTTCAATTTTTGTCCGATTAGGGAAAAGTTTGAAAGTGAGACCTAAATTCTGATAAGTATAAAAATCATCATTGTGATTCTCATTTTACTTTGAAAGTGGTCTATGATCGTTAACTCTATTTATTCCTCCGTTAGAGCAAAAGGCATTTCAATCTTTTCATCAAAATCTTTAATATTCCTTTTGGATAATAACATAAAATTTTATTTTATATGTTCTTTTAAAACATAACAAATTGTAGATCGAAAGAGAAATTTTATAACAAAATAAAATGTTATGGTATTTTTTTAAAAAAAATTAAAGATTTTGATAAAAAGACTGAAATGCTTCTTACTTTAACAGAGAAAATAAACAGACGATCAAGGATCACTTTCAGAGCAAAATGAAAACCACAAAGTTGATTTCTAGACTTATCAATGTTCAATTCCCACTTTCAGACTTTTTAATTGAAGTTAACACTAAATTGTATTTGTCTTTCGTTAATGCACCTCACCCCACTACAAGATTTATGTACTTATCATCAATCATTTTTATTACCTTTTTACAAAATAATTTTTATTTGATGTATTTCAAGTAATAAAACGAGATATATAAGTACATGGGTTTTTATAAGAAGTTGTGAATATATAAGAATCATGAAGATATAGTTATAGTGAAGTTCTTGTAAAAGCATGTTTAAAAACAACTACAATAGCCTAAAAATCATATGTCCTAATTTTTCACATCTCACTCATATCCACCAATTACATGAATACACGTTATCAAAAAAAGAATGTTAATATAGATTAAACAAATAAATAAATAAAAATCTGATGTATCTTTAATTATATTGGAAGGACATAAATGGGACGTCTAATATTAAGACAGGTGATTTTTATTGTCTCAATACCAAAACCATCATAAAACTACAGCATGTAAGCAAGATATTCATAATTCTAAGATCAAGGGAAAAAAGAACATACCTGCATGTTTCCTATCAGTTGGGCAAACAGAATTAAGCCCCCAATACATATGGTGGAGCAGAACAACGTCTCACCAATATAGATACTTGTTTCCAGATTCTGTCCATATGAACTGAAAAAAAGAAGTGATAGAAAAGACAAAAACCAGTAATCATGTCAAAGAAGGGTACCAAAATCCAAACAGAAACCTAAAATAAGTAATAAAAAATAGTTTCCCCAACCAAAGGGTCATTGGCCCAGTACAGGTTATCGATAGAGGCCCTGTCAACAATTCAAACCTTACCAAATATGAGAAGTATGCATAAGAGCATTTCCAACAAATTCTCCAAAATGGAGATTTTTGCTTCAGAAGATTCCGAAAACCTTCTCCAAAATAGAGAAAGTAGAAGAGAGAGAGACGAAATTCTCCAAATCTGAAGAACCGTTTAAAATTGATTACCTATGAAAAAGAAAATTCTTTATTGTTCCTACCAATGAGAAATTGAGAATCCTTGAAATTAAATGTATAAAAGAGATAAATAATATTTTATGAAAGATATTGAATATTTTAATAATATCATTCATATTGTAATCTAAAAAAATAGAGAAGTTGTTGGAGATTGAATATAAATCTTCTTTGAAGATTTTGACTTTGGATTCTCCAATATGGAGAATTTGAAATCAACATATTCTTCAAAAGTTTTCCAAAATGGAGAATTAAAGTTCAAAATATTTGAATTGAATTGCACTCAACTCCAACATATTATCCATTTTGAAGATTACATCATTAATTATATTATTAAAATATTCTATACATTTAATTAAATATTATTTCTCTCTCGTAAACATTTCATTTCAAGGTTACCTATTTGTGGAATATAATAAAAAAACCAATTTCTCTTTCATGGTAATCATTTTTCGAAGATCTCCAAATTTAGAGAAATTTACACTCTCTCTCCTGCTTCCTCCGTTTTTAAGAAAGCTTTGAAGAATCTTTTGGAGCAAAAAATTGTCCAAAATCCTCATTTTCTCCATTTTGGAGAATATGTTGGAGATGCTCTAAGTATTTGCCGTACATAAATATCATATACTTACAAAAAAAAAACTAGTTGCTCCACTTGGATTCCCAATTTATGAAATTTTTAGATGATCATACCTCAAATTTCTTAAACCCCACCAAAGGCAATATAAATACTTCTCGAAGAACTTTGATGAAGCAACTTCGCTTGTAAAAGCATCGGCAAACATTCCGAATTTAAAAGGAGAAGTTTCATTGCTAGCATCACATAGAGTTCTCAGACTTGTGGATTGAAGCCATTTTTTGCGTTCAGGTTGATCTACACTGTTACAATCCAAAAAACTTATACAGACTTTTGATGCCATCTCCTCTTTACATCCTTGTTGCCAGCAAGAATGCTGGCGCCCTATAGACATCAAATACCATGAAGCTCCAAGAACCTGATTCAACATAAATAGAAGTACATGAGATGGGTGCCAAAACTTAAAAGTTGCAACTTGGCAAGCATTACATTTTTTGCTGCAACATTAAGAAACTTCCAGCTAACATCATAGTTAAGGGTGCATTTGTTATCAAGATAGGATAGGACGGAAGAGGAAAGGAAAAGACAAAACAACTGTTCAGCATTTGGTTAGACAGAACTAGACAGGACAAAACAGATAAAATGATCAATTTACCCCTGATGAATTGTTTATATATTTTGATTAATTTATGTAATTTATGTAATTTCCAATTTTTATTTTATACCTTTTTTATGTTATTTTTTTATTGCTAACTTTTAATAAATTACATAAATTAATCAAAATATAAAAACCGTATAAAGTTGATATTTTGAGAACAGTAAAGTGGAAGTTTAAAGAGACAATAAATAAAATTTAAAGAATGAATAAAATGTATAGAAGAAGGTGTATTTGATGTTTTAGAAGAAAATTAGGTTTTACTTTGAACCATACTTAACATCATAGTTAAAAGTGATAATAAGCATTGAACACTTCTTTGCTCCGGGGAAAAATCACATTTGATTAAACCACGACTAGTAGGGGCACCATGAAGGATGTTGCGGTTTAATCAAATGTGATTTTTTCCCGGAAGAAAGAAGTGTGCAATGCTTATTATGGAGTAAAAACTTATTTCATGATCATCACTTTTAATGATGATGTTGGGCATAGAAGTTTCTTAATGCATCATTAAGAAACTTCTATGCCTAACATCATAGTTAAAATAAGAAACTTCTATGCCTAACATCATAGTTAAAAGTGATGATCATGATGTTGGGCATAGAACAAATTTGGAAACGTATCCGGACATCATTCCATGATCCAAATTTTCAAATGTATCCTGTCTTTTTGGTAAGAGAAATATTAAAACATATCTCCTTTTCATGGAACACAGAAAGCAGGCATCAAATATTAGTTTATTTGAAAATAAGTTGCATAATCGCCACCTAGGTAACCCAAACAATTTGTATATCTGTTGATAGAGGAGGGATGTATAAGAAATTTATACATGTTAACCAAAAAAGAACTAATATTATATTCCTGACATTCACATTACACTAGAGAGTAGACAACTTGCATTACAGTTTACAGTCATGTAGTGGTGGATCTACGATTTTGCTGAGCAGATGCACTCTCAAAATGGATCAAAGGCCCATAAAGTCGCCTGATGTGTTTTTAGCCGAATTTCACTATTTTGAGGGATTCTTTTAAGTTCTTTTTGGTTGTTCTTGAGGGATTTTTTAAGCTTTGATAACTTTTTCCACTTTTGGTTGATTTCAAGGGGTTCTTAAATTTTTTTGGTTGATGTTCCTTGTATTTTCTAACATCCCGGAGCACCGCTCAAAGTTTAAAGGATGCACCTTTCATACCTCAAAAAAAGTTATACTTGCAAAATTCAGTTGAGTGGGTGCATGAGGTCCCGCTCGGGCACGAATAGGTCCCCCCTGCAGTCATGTTTTGGGACACAGGCATTCAAGTGGACATACAAGAGTGCAAAATGACGATATATAACATGTGAAAGATACTTACATGACTAGCAAGCATGTAAAGAAGGAGATTGTAAGCAGCTCCTGCCCAGGCTGTCTTAGCTACAAAGCCTGTAGATTTTATAATCCGCTGATTTAGTGGAAAAATGACAAACAATCTAGGAATATACTGAATAAGAACGATAAGAGATAGTGTATTATTAGCATGATCTTTGTTGTTCCGTTTCGTTGCTGGTATGATGAGCTCGTTAACTATCTGCAGCACAGAAGAAGTCCCCAAGTTAAACTCAGAACCACAAACTGTACAGCTTTCAAATATTACTAACTGCAAATTTCTCACTATGCAATTCATCACCAAGCAATAATAACAGAACAAGCTAAGATTCTTGCACACAAACTGCTTTTTTCTGTGGCTTTTGGTTTCAGATAGAGCTGCAAGATTGTTCCAGGATTGAAGGCTCTGAAGCCACGATTGTTCCATTCGTGATTTATATTAAAATATTAAAGAAAAATGAACTATACAAACAAATTCATATCAAGGTCTGCATGTGAGGCAATCTCCATTGTGCACAGTAATGCTATTTGCACCGGCTTTTATGCAATGGAAATGTAAAATGTAGGTCTTGATGTTGATATGTGTGCAAAAAAAATTTCCAGGTGGGGAGCATTTAGCAATATACACGGGTGCAATTAGCCCACCCCAAAAATCCTTAAATGCATCAAATTTTCTACAACTGCTAAACAAGCTTATGTTATGAAAATCAAGAACAAAGAAACAGCCTACAACGCTAGCTCTATCATTCAACAAAGTTCTATGGAAGTCAGTTTCTGTAATAATCAAGTCACAAATGGCACATTATGTAGCTTCAAATTTGCAAAGTTCCAAAGTAGATTAAAGTGTTTATTCAGGGTCAAGTGGAGTTCATAAGCGATTATATGCAGCTGTGCGATCCTAACATATTGGTAGACTTGAAGCTTCAAACCATCTAGCCAAAATGCATAATGGTGTCCAAAGCAAAATTCACAAAATTAAGCCTACATTCAAACCCTAGAAAGCCAAGATAACCACCGAAAAGATGAGTCCTTACAGCTACTATGCCGAATCAAATTGGTACCAAGAGTTTCCCCAAATTAATTCAAAAATGATACCAGCCATAATAACAGATTAGAAACTAGCCTGAGGTAATGGAAGAGAAGCGGCCACATCTATGACGAAATCAGACCTCAAATATCGCCTGGCAATCTGACGCTTGTCCATCACAAGTTCGCCCCTGCCGAAAACCTTAGAGCTTGGCGCAATAAACGCCGTTCGAAACTTCATGATAATATGTAATACAAAAAAAACATCCGCAAGAGAACGCCACGTATTAATCGCGATCGCCGCCGCGTTATCGGTGGTCATGCAGGTGTCTCCACCGACGTAAGGTAGGTAGAAATAGAGAGGATCTATGAACAGAGAAACGAGGCACATCACCAGAAAAAAATGGTTCCATCGAGTCACGACTTCCCCGTTTGGATCGAGGATTTGGTAACGCCATAACGTCTCGCTGTTAACTTGATCGGGAGAAACGACGGTCTTCGACGCGGGTCGCGAAAGGTGTTGGCGGAGACGGGAGGCAGGCACTGTCAGCACCCGGTTCATCATCCGTCACGGCGGTGACACGGCGTTGTTAGGGTTCCGATGATCGTGGTTGAGATTTCAGCCGGTATCGAGAAATTGCGCGCGAAAAATACTGTTCCCTTTTCCTTCGAAATCTGTTGTATGGCTATCAAGTTCCGGTAAAACAAAATTTACAAAATTAGCCCCTTCATTAATTTTAATTTCTAATTTTAGTCCATTAAGTTTGTTATAATATTTATGGTCCATTAATTGAGGTCTATTCTTCATTTAGTCCTTTCATCTATTCATATGTGAATATATATTGGTTAAACGCCTAAATTATTTGTTTAAATGCCAATATTTCAAATTTCTATGGTAAAATATAAAAGAAATTAACCAAAAAATCGAAAAAAAAAAAAACACACCTTAAAATCAACTAAAGTTGGAAGGAAAAAAAACCCCTTAAAAATCAACAAAAAAGCGTAAAAATTACTCGACAAGGTGGACTTCAGCTAAAAACGCATCGGACTTACGCCTAAGACATAATTTTGCATTATGCTTAAAAGGTTGATTCCAATTTGAAAAGTGTATTTTATTTCCCAAATTTAATACAATTAAATTTTCCAGGGGTCAAACCATGTTGAGTTTAATACATGATCAAATCAAGACTTTACATGCATTTGATCTGCCTCAAAAGTGCAACTATTATGCATAAATCTTGGGACTTGGATTTGTCCTGCAGGTTTGTTCCTACGTTTTATAAGCTCTTTGGGAAAAAAATGGTCTTCGATATATACATTTTTTTAATATACGGTTTTTATTATCAGAAATAACATTTATTTCAAATAATAGTAATAATTCATATAAAATAGTTTTTCGAGTATTCCTATACTCAAAATCAATTCATAATTAGAACTAAATTAACATTATCTATCGTATCATTTTTATATAGCATCGTCAATTCGTTTTCACCGTAAAAAAATCCTATGAGATACTTTTAATATATATATATATATATATATATATATATATAACTTAATTTGGGACACAATTTTGATTATTTTAGGGGTTGTTTGTTTACCTCTTAATAGTTTCATTCAGAGATGAATTTTGTTTAACAAAAAAAAAGTTGTCTCTTAATGGTTCTAAAACTCTCTGAATGATTTTGTATCATAGGCTTTCTTAATCATTCAACGCCCTAATTTCATTGTAAACAAACTACAAGGATGGTGCCTAATTGGTTTGAGCTTGGCTCCAAAGGTCAAAAGTAGCAGGAGGTCACAGGTTCAAATCCAATGAGGAATAAAAATCCTCTTGTGGTCATGGAGGTTCAAATGCTGTGACTCCGGACTATCTACAAAGCAGATGGTTGTCCTGGGATTAGCCGGCTCACATAGCGGGTTGGATATCCAGGTTAATAAAAAAAATCATTGTAAACAATTATCAAACAATCATATTGTTGTCGTATGTGTGCCACCTACCCCAACTACTTCAATGACTCAAATCACTGAATATGTGATTCCTAGCATTTGTCACTATCGATCCTTCACATCTCTTCTCAACCATCCTCTCCTCCCTCTTTCTTTGGTCTCTATCACACGAGCTGATGAACCAATGGTGGTTGTCCCTACTATTGGTGAAGCTATCACCACAAAACCTGAAGATGTTCCTCTCGACTTATCTCAGCAACGTGCAGTTGATCCTCTTGACAATGCATTCGAGATGCTCGACCTTAGCGGTAATCATTCGGATACTGCTGAGGAACCCTCGAGTATACACCAAACCCCCTCCCTTTCTTTCTTTGCTACTAACCATGAGTTTTTTCAGCGCCATAATTTCATTGTAAACAATTATCAAACTAATTCATTTCATTTTACACTATATAATAAGAGTCTCTTACTAATTCTGATCACTTAATCATTCTGCATCAAACCGTACAGCAACTGTCAAACAGTCTCTTAATGTCTTTCATTAACTCTTTGGATTATTTTATCTGGCATAAATAGGGATGCATATAGCAACGCCTGCACAATAATAGAATCAATGCAGATAGAATAATCAAAAGAGTCAATGAGAGATGAAGAATGAAGTATATATCAAACTTAGGATCTCTTTGACTCATGTTGAGAAATGAAAATGAGAAGGAAAATGAAAATGACAAAGCATGAAAATGGGAATGAATTTTCATTCCCCCAAGTTAAACTAGAAATAAAATTTTGGGCTTATGGGGGAAATGAGTCTATTATATTTTAGAAAACCAAACAGTTTATTTTATCTTCATTCTCATTGATTAATGCTTAATACGTCTAATTAAACACCTTCTTAGAGAAACAGTTTCATTAAATATTATCATCTTCATTATTTTAAATTTAAAAAAATACATGAAATAGTTTCATTAAAATTTCATTAAGTATTATATGAAATAATTTCATAACCATATATGAAACAACTTTATCAAATAAAAGTATTATAAAAAATCATTTCATGACAAAATTTCATAACATTAAACAATAAAATCAACGAATAAGGATGGTTTATACGAATTGGATGGTTTCCATTTCATTGCTCCTCCACATATATATATATATATATATATATATAAATATATATATGGGCCTATTCAAGGGAGAATTAAGTTGTTTGTGGTAACTGTGAGAACCAATATTAACCACAAATCAATATATAAATTAGGAAATTTATAAATTTGGTAATTTCAAATTAAAATTTTAATGCAAGAATATTTTTGGTATTTTAAAACTCTCTTCTCTCCTCTCTTCTCTATCCGGCCTCCGGTGATACCACTATGATACCACTGTGATACCTAAAAATATTGACTCTGTTAAACAAAAGATAACTTGTGATACATAATCATATATAAGATGCATAGTGATACCACTGTGTTACATCTTCGATCGATCACACAAACGACATCAATGTAATACCCAATCACATATATGATGCATTGTGATACCATTGTAGTATCATCGGAGAACGGTGGCCGGHGGACGGTGGCCGGAGAGAGAAGAGAGGAGGGAGGAAAGTTGTAAAATACCAAAAATATCCTTGCATTAAAATTTTAATTCAAAATTGCCAAAATTATAAATTTTCTAATTTATCTATTGATTTGTGGTTAATATTGGTTCTCACAATTATCACAAACTAATTAGTTCTCATTTGATTAGGTATATATATATATATATATATATATATATATATATTTATTTATTTATTTATTTATTTGGGGAATGGAGTGAGATAAGTAGACGTGGCAGGAGTAGAGACATCATTTGGTATGTCCCCCACGGCGACACGCTGCCTTCCCCAAAGTACATCCTCACCCGCTTTTACTTTATTCACCCCCTCATCACAATTACCTATTTCGTACATAAGAATGCTTAATTCTACTTTATATATTGTTAAATATATTTTTATACATCTCGTGGTTGGATTTTAGTAAAAATAAGAGTTAAGTTTAGAAGCGTAAGAAATGGTCTCCATCATAAATATGCATTTAGATGAGATGTACCAAGATAAAATGCACCATATCAGTCCCTATATCAAGGTTAGAAGTATTTCTAAATGTAGCCGTTATTTTTCAAAAAACTAGTCATTTATCACTGTTTTTTGGTTGTTTTTTTTGCTCTATATAAACGTCATGGTTGAGGGGTTTACATATCAAATTCTCGATTCGCAAAAAAACGTTCACAATTCTCGGTTTCTCGCTATATTTTGTAAGACAATGTAATTTTAATTATAATAAAACGTATTTTTAAAATGTATTTGAATGACCTAATTATAAATTTTATAATGTATTAAAAACATATATCATTAAAAAAACATTATTTTTAATGACAAGGAGAGGTTAGAACCGGGACCGACAATTCATAACCAGTTACAATAAAACTTGATCAGAGACATCTTTTTCGATTAAGACCGGGACCGAAACCGGTTATGACCAGATCTGTCAAGAGCTGGGGACCGGTTTTTGGCCGGTAGGTCCCAATGCCATCCGATCCTGCCTTGCACACACATAAACATACACATAGTACCGCTACCGCCTATCTCTCTGTTTGTTCCCTTTTTGGCTTGGAATAACACTCCCTTTCTGAACTTGTTTCATCTTCTCTTTAATTTTGTCTCCTCTTTCTCTCTCATAGATCAACAGATGCGAAAAGGAAATTCTGTCCTCAAGAACACGTAAATCTCTCACGAAAAGCATAAATAACGTCGCAAGAGTTCCTTTATGCTTCCTCTTAAATGCAAACTTCACGTTTTTTAGCTCTACAACAACACCATGATCAACAAAAAACAACTGCTTTGCCTCCCATTTTTGTTTCTTCTTTCTTCTGGATCATTACTCTCGTCAGTTTCTGCAACACCACCCGCAAGTAAGCTCTGAATCCCTAAAACTTCCTTTTATTTCATCAATTTGAACGCCGAGTTAATTGATTGATTGCTTCAATTGCAGAAATTGTCAGCGGCATTGCGTCGAACATTGCGTCTGCGTTATTCAAATGGCTGTGGTCTCTTAAACCCGCCACCAAAATCACCATGGGTATGTCCAATTTTTATTTTCCCCTTTCGCCATATCGTAATCGAGATTCATGAGCTGGTTTTTTGAACTGGGTTTGTGTTTTTTTTTTGTTTTTTTAATCATCTCTGTAGCTGCTTCGAGCCGTTCAATGGTGAAATATGAAGGTGGGTATACTGTAGAAACTGTGTTTGATGGAAGCAAGCTTGGGATCGAACCTCATTCTGTGGAGGTAACTCCATCTGGGGAGCTTCTTGTCTTAGATTCAGAAAACAGTAATATTCACAAAATCTCAACACCATTATCAAGATGTAAGTGTAATTATCTTTACAAAATTTAAATTGATGATATGATTATGATACTAATTAGCAAAATCAACTCGAAATTATACCATCTGTTTGCAAAATTAGATACAAAGCTTTAGTTTTCGGTGTTGATCATAGTCATTTAGGTGGTTGTTTACTACCTGCTTACCGCTTATTTCAGTTTTCGGTGTTGATCATAGTCCTTTAGTTGATACGAGTTTTAGGGCTTGTTTGTTAGCATCTTAACGAGCTTAATTGGACTCAGCTTATTCCGTAAGCTATACATGACTATTTGTTAGTGGCTTAGTAATATATAAAGTGAGTTATTCGGTAAGCTTCTAGGGGAGAGCTTAATTAGAAAACAAATTTTTTCCAAACCTGTCCCTCCTAATTAAAAGACATGCTCCTTCTTTCTATGTTTAAACCGTCCCAAACAAAAATCTTTCCAACCAATATAGACAGATTAATCCATACAAACAACTTATTGGAAAACCAACCAAACAACCCCTTAATGAGTACCCGTTGCTTCATGAATCGTCCAAGAATAATAGTTAATGAGGCATCCACTTTTTGGACTTGTCTATGCTTTTGTTTAGAAGAATACTCATCTTTTAAGTATAGCAATTTGTTGACTAATCCTTTTAGAATCTATTCCATTTTATGTTTTCTATGCTATTCTGCTTTATTCTTCTAAAGCTCAAATCTTGCCAAATGAATGACTAAACCTTCTTCTCTTTAGATTCAGTTCAAAAGCCCTTTTGTTTCTTTCTTCATACAATATTCAAGACTTTGAATCTTCTAAAGTGAAGTTGAAATTTGGATGCTTCTACAAGAACTATTCTATGCTGGTTTTTGAGTTTTTGCTTTTTATCACAAGTTTCTTGCATATTTCTATCATTGAAGCTAGTTTAGGAAACATTTACCAACACAAATTGGGTAAGCTATAAAGGTGCGTTTGGTAAGACAAAATTGAACAGGACAAAACAGATAAAATGACAAATTTACCCCGAATGAGTTGTTTATATATTTTAACCACAAGGGTGGTGCCTGATTGGTTTGAACTCGGGCTCTAAATGTCAAAAGTTCTTGGAGGTCCCATATTCGAGGAATAAAAATCCCCTTGTGGCCGTGGAGGTTCAAATGCGGGGACTCCGGACCACCCACAAAACAACATATTTTATATATTTAAATTAATTTGTGTAATTTATTAAATTATAAGAAAATAAATATTGTTATAACAAAATAGTTTTCGTCAATACGATTAAAATGACACCAAAATAAAAAGTTCATGTAGTTCCCAATATTTTATTTTATACCTTTGCTATATTATTTTTTATTATAATATTAATAAATTACATAAATTAATTAAAATATAGAAACTGTATAAAAATAATATTTTGAGGATAGTAAATTGAAAGTTTTAAGAGCATAAAATACAATAAATAAATTTAAAGAAGGAATAAAATGTAAAGAGGGAGGTGTATTTGATATTTAGAAGAGAATTGAGTTTTATTTTGAGGTTGTATTGGTAAAATATAGGTATGTCTCATCTTGTTTCATGGGGTAAGGGTGGAACACGCCTGTTCCACTCTGTTTCGGTCCGTTCCACATAAAAGTCCTACCAAACGTGGAATAGTGATGTTTTGTCTTGTCCGGACCGAAAATGGTTGTTTACCCATTGACAGACTGAATCACTGAAAGAATTAGAAAGCAACCCCTTTCTTGTTGGGTCAGTATATTTGTTGGTCAGAGTATGTTGGTAAGCAACAACCCTTTTTAGCGGGTAAGCACCTCTTACCCAGTAAGAGGCGGTAAACAGGTAGTAAACAGTTTCAATCGCGTACCCATGATTTGTAAATTTGAGTGAATGTTGTGACAGATAGCAGACCAAAGCTTGTGGCTGGTTCATCTGAAGGGTATTTTGGTCATGTGGATGGAAAGCTAAGAGAATCCAGGATGAACCACCCAAAAGGACTTACTGTGGATGATAGAGGAAATGTATATATAGCAGACACCATGAATATGGCTATCAGGAAGATCAGTGAAACTGGTACTGTTGCATTTTCCAGTTCTATCCTTTATTCAATCTTTTTGTTAGAGTAAAGTTTAATTTTGGTCCCTAACTTTTGCAATTTTCAATGGATATATGGTCGCTCACTTTTGTCATTTCTCAACGGTTTTGTTTCCTCTATCTTACGGTCATTCAACAACTTTTTCATTAGGTCTAGTTAAATGAGGGGTATTTTAGTCATTTTCACTGTATTAAAATTAAAAAGCATATTCTATTTTTTATTTTAATTTGTAAAACAGGAAAAAAGAAAAAAAAACGAAAAGAGGTGGTTATCCTGTTTTTTGTTTTACAAATTAAAAATAAACAAACAATATGTTTTTTCAATTTTGATATGATGAAAATAGTGAAAATGAATAAAACACCCCTCATCTAATTGGATTTAATGGGAAAAATTAACGAATGTTAAATAGAGGGACCAAAACTGCTGGGAATTGACAAACGTGAAGGACCAAATTCGAGTTTTTGAAGTTTAGGGACGATATGCCTTGAAAAGTGAAAATGTTGAGGACCAAAACTCAAGTTCACTCCTTTTTGTTATTAAGGGTAAAATTGTCATTTTAGTTAAGAGTTAATTACATTGGTGGTCCATGTGGTATGCTCAAATTTCGTATTTAGTTCTTAAGACAAACTATCTACACCGACGAGCCATAACTTTTCAATTTCATAACACTCAAGGTTCTTAGAGTTAACACCATCAGTTAACTTTCGTTAGGAGGGACAAGTTAGTCTTTGGACAAACTACAGGATCAAAAGTGTAGTTCACTCCAAAATTAATTGTGATTCGTATTTTTTTTATATTTTTTAATTAAAAATATTTTACGTACGGTTAACAAAAAAATATTTTTAATTAATTGTGAATAAACGACAACAATTAAATTGATATAATAATCAAAATATTCTTTTTTGTTAACTGTACGTAAAATATTTTTAATTAAAAAATGCGAATCACAATTAATTTTAGAGTGAATTATACTTTTGGTCTCTGTAGTTTTCCCAAAGACTGATTTTTCCCTCCTAATGGTTGTCAATTGTCGGTGTTAACTCTAGGGACCTTGAAAGTTATGAAATTGAAAAGTTAAAAACTATCAGTGTAGATAGTTTGTTTTAGGGATCAAATCCAAAATTTGAGCAAATCACTGGGACCACCAACCTAATTCACTCTTTAGTTAATTAAAAACTGTAATAATTACATATTTCTAAAATTGTCTAAAATTTTCATTGTGGATGATTATTTTGGGACTGAGAGAGTATTTATTTCATTTAAGTTCTTGAAGTATAGAATAAAAGTTACATTATTTGCAGGAGTTGTAACCATAGCCGGAGGAAACTTGGCCCGAGGGTCGGGTCACATCGATGGTCCAAGTGACGATGCAAAATTTTCTGACGACTTTGATGTGATGTACGTTGCTAGTAGCTGCTCGATTTTAGTTATTGATAGAGGTAACCAAGCGATTCGAGAAATCCAACTTCATGAGGATGATTGCTCGTCTTATCAGTACGACAGCGAACACCATTTAGGTAAAAAAGTGATTAGTGGGGCTATCCATAGGTTTTTCCATTGAGCTCTGTATGGATTGAGCGGTGTGTATGGACCCCACTTCATGTGGGATCCACTGGGTTCATCTGTTATGGGTTTTTAAGTTCCTAAGTATTTACAAGTATTTGTTGATCATCATTTCAGGGATAGTGGTTCTTGGTGCTGCAGTGTTCTTCGGCTTCATGTTAGCCTTGTTACAACGTAGAGTTTCTGCAATGTTTTCGTCGCAGACTGTAAGCGTTTTCCTAAGCCGAAAGCTTCTCGTTTTCTATTTTAAGTTCGAATACAAGTCGACTAGACACGAACCATCAAACCTGTATACATATGAAAAAGCCCTCCTCTCTCTCTCTCTACAATGACTCGTCTAGAGAGAGGTTCAAAGGGGTTTCATATATCCTAATATGGTATTAGAGTCGGGGTTTGGCATAGTCTGAAGACTCATCACACTCCTTCGCCTTTATTGGGGGCACCATCTAGCCTCCATTTGAGGGGGTGTTTTGGAGTCCCACATCGACTAGGCACGGACCATCAAACCTATATATATGATGGAACCCCTCATCTCTCTATAACGGCTCTTTTAGAGAGGTTCAAAGGGGTTCCACATATTTGAACATGGTATCAGAGCCGGGGTCTAGCACCATCTAGGACTAGAGATGGCAAAATTGGGCCGGCCAAGCCCCGGACCCGGATTGGTTACACATAATATGGAATTTCAAGGCCGTACTCGTTATGCATAGGCCCCATTTTTTTATTTTTTTTATAAATCTTAAAAGAAGATTTCTACAAGATTTTCAAGTTTTTTTCAAAATTTTCAAGATTTTATCTACTTAAATCTATTATTTAAAGTGTATTTCAATACTAAATTTCAAAAATCGTTATTATAAAAACATGTATAACAATTTTTTGTAAAAAATAGTAAAAAAAGGGGTCGGGCTTGGCACCGGATTTCGGATCAGCCTGATCTGATGGACCGGGACTAGATTCGTCCTAGTATTTTTGGTTGGGAGCGGGACCAAGACCGAGACCGGCCGGCCCGATTTTGAAGGGACCGACCCGGGACCGAATTTTGGACATCTCTGCTAGGGGCTCAACACACTTTCGCCTCCATTCTTGGGGGGTGTTGGAATCCCATATTGGCTAGACACAGACCATCAAACCTATATATACACACACACCTCCTCTTTTTATGAGGGCTCTTTTGAGAGAGATTCAAAGGGGTTTTACATATCCTAACAAACACAATTCGTTAACATCAGGATCCAAGACTTGCTATCGATGGCATTCCGCCATCTACATATCGGAGGTCCATGAAATCGGTGAGGCCGCCTTTAATTCCGCCAGAGGACGAACACGAAAAAGAAGAAGAGGGCTTATTTGGTTCACTAGGAAAAGCCCTTGTCAAAGGAGGAACATTTTTTGGAGGTTTATTCTTTAGTTCCAAAAAGAACCCACTCCCCCCTCATCATCAAATGAATTACCAACAACCCCCTCAATTTCCCAACTCTTGGCCTATGCAAGAAACCTTTATGATTCCACATCAAGATGCACCCCCGTCACTCGAAACCCGAAAATCGTACCCGTTTGTGACCAAAAACCCGGAAATAACCGAAAGACCACGCCCGTCTAAACAGACTCGATATCTCTATAGTGGACAACGGCAAATGCAACAATTACATGAAAATCGTCAAGAATACCATCAGAAACACCACTCGTCGGATCCTCGGACTTATTACGAGGAGAAGAGCGAGACGACGAACGAAGTGGTGTTCGGGGCAGTTCAGGAACAAGACGGAAAACATGGAGCTGTGGTGATAAAGCCTTTTGATTACAGCAACCCAACGAATTACAGTAATCAGAACGTACGATCCAGGTATAACTACACGGGCTATGCATACGGTACGTATTCATGATGGGATTGTTGTCTTTTTCGTGTTTCGGTATTAGTAAGAACATGTATGAATATGATATCATCATTCATAGGTATGTTATAGCATAGAAGTTTAATGTTGTGCCAATAGATATAATCTTTTATGGGTAGGAGAAATGTTTGAAAATTTCCCCATACAATCAAGAAAATGATTACTCAGGAACAGGGCAAATATAGAGCAATGTGCAATTTTTTGTCGCTTACTCGGTAAGTGCTTCACTATCTTTACGGATAAAAATTCTTGCCCATCAAAAATGGCATCGTATGTAACAATCTTATTGGGTAAGCATTAACCAGAGAAGCCATTATCCTCACTTACCGGGTAAGACTCTCGTTCCTTGTCTTGCCTCTTTACAGGTAAGATTCTCGTTCCTTGTTTTGCTTCTTTCCAGGTAAGATTCTCGTCCCTTGCCATGTTAATCCAGTAAGGTAAGTGACCCGGTAAATATTTGGTACAATGGCCCAAAGTCATTATAACATGGATGAACTTGTCCAAATATAAGACAAATCCTAGATTCGATCACGGGACCGCTGCTAGCCTTAGCTGACTGAGCCAAAAACTGCTCTCTTCGAATTGGTGTCCTTGAAGGCGGTATCTATATGAGACCGTTAGGGTTGCTGGTATTCAATTTTTTGTCCAAATTTATTGTGTGTGTAACAAATTTAACTTATTTATTGTAACGAATTCGATTAATTACTTAAAAAAATAGAATAAATGTTGATATTTATTATCTTTAGGTCCTCTAATCATATGTGAATAATCAACACAAAATATCACCATTTGGGAATGGATCATGATTTTGTGCAAGAAAAAAGTCTTCCCTACCCACCCAACCCTTGACAATGGGTATCCCATTGACAAAGTGCATTTGGTTTGACTTCTATATAAGGTCATTTTATTTTATATTTACTTTATTCCATAAAAATGTTTACATTTTTTTTATATTTGTTTTAAAATAGATAACTAAATTTTTACATCTTAGGTAACAAAATAGAAGTTTTGAAAGTAAGTTATCCAAAATAGAAATCAAGTTAAAGTACGTTACTTTTTCATACAATTTGCTCTTTTTAAATCTACCCTTAATTAATGTGCAAATATTTAAGAGTTGGCAAGATATATGCATTAATTATGGGTAAGGTTATCATGAGTTGAGTTCCAATAAAAATGAAAGTTATGGCGAAAAAAATAAAAAGGAATCTCGATCATTGGATCAATCTTAATTGAAAATCAACAGTAATAAGGTGCATCGAGATGAATCAAATAAATTCTCGTGATAAGCCCGATTGATGGGGTGAGGGTGAAATTAAAAAAGATCAAGAGTGTGGATTCATTCTTACACTTCTCATCTTAACTCATATTCATGAAGTTAGTAAGAGTAAACTACAAATTTGGTCCCTCTGGTTTGTCGAAAATAACACTTTTTCACCTTGTAGTTTTGAAATTAAAAAATGGTCATTGTAGGTTGTAAAAACGTTCAGATTTAGACCCTTTCTCTAATGGTTTATCTTTCTTTATTCATACAACAAGACACGCGCTTTGGTTAGCCACGCGCTCGATTGTGAATAAAATGGAAAACAGGTAATCTCATCTCGATATGAAAGAGGGCGGTTTTTTGTAATCATTTGGATAGTTGACCGGTCAGAAAGGCCCACTTAAGCTGGCTCATTTGGCCCACTTCAACTGGGTCCAATATCATGTTGGGCCCACACAGCACTAGCATCCTTTGCTTTCAACCAATAACAAGTTTACATGTCATAATTTATTTTTAATTAAATTTATTCGGTTTTTACTGGGGCTTGTTTGTTTTTTTACAAAAAAGCTTTTATCAGCTTTTTATGTATGATCCGTTTTGAAGTAGGGTCATTCAGATTATTTATTTTTTTTCCATTTTTTAAAGATACTTATGTCTTATGTTCTGTTATCAGGTAAAAGGTAAATCAACTTTTTATCTGTTTCTTATTGTTCTTCAGACTCTGAACAACGGTGTTTCTCAATCGATTAACTTTCATCGATTATTTCTCTCAATCGATCATCACCAAATCAATCTTCATTTCTCTCAATTGATGTATCTTAATAAGATTTAAATATACTAAATACCGTTGATGACATATTTTTTGTTAAATGAATGCTAATTTTATGATTTAGATGTCTGTTTCGTAATGATGATGAATTAATATGTGAAATCGTATAAATTTATATAGAAATTCAACACAATAATTTTTTAATGGGTAAAATAGACATTTTAAACAAATTCAAACATTTATCAGTTTACAAAAACAAACAGTCTTAATGATTCAAATTTCAGACTTCATTACCATCTTTTATAAATCAGAAGTGATATAAAACTTCAAACTTCAACATCACCTCTTCTAAATCAAAACTGAAATAAGACTTCAAACTTCAACATCACCCTAAAATAGAAGCTAATCCGTTTGAATTATTTGAAAAATAAAACATCAAAATTTTACCATCAAAATTTTATATCAAAACTATTATAGCATATTTAAGAGCTATGTTAAATTAGAGTTCTAAGAGTTTTTTCTGCTTCAACAATCAGATTAAAATAGATTAAAAAATAGAATTAGAAATCTCTAGAATTTAAAGAAATGTCTACAACTTAATATTGAAAAGATATATATATATATATATATATATATATATATATACACACACACACACATACATGGGATCACATGATACCAGCTTGTTTTTGTGAAATCCGTGAGGCCACTTTTTAACACTTGAAACTTTACAGCAAAACGCTATGAAGGTAACCTTCACATTGTTTTTGTTGTGAAGTTTCGACTTTTTTTTACCTTTACAGTGTTTTGCTGTGAAGTTTCAAGTGTAAAAAAGTGATCTCACATGTCTCACGAAAACAAGCTGGTCTCATGTGAACTCAACCCTATATATATATATATATATATATATATTGAAATTAATTTTAGATTTTTGTTACTACAAAATATAAGTGAAGATACATATGAGTTTGCATAATTATTACATGTTTTATTATTTGACATTTGAAAACAATTTACCATGATGAAAATTTGACAATTAGTATCAAATAATTGGTACTTTGATATTAATAATCCAATCAATTCATATTACTTTTACATGATCATTAAAATTATCATCATAAACATACAAACTATAATTTAATAATTAATAGATTTTTGAAGATGTTATATGCAACCTATTTTATATGATAATAGATTTTCAGGTATATAACTTTAAATGAGATTTTAATTAAATACATGACATTCTCATGAGTATAAAATTACATTATAGTATCCAACTCAATATTATTTGCTAAAGTATTAACCTGACACCACATCACTCGTCACATCAACATGGTAACCGGTTACCCGGGTACTTAAATGTTTAAAATTTTACACTTTAGGTACCAAAATGAAAGTTTTAAAAGTACGTTACTCTAAATAGAAAATCAAGTCAAAGTACGTTATTTTTTCATGCAATTTCCCCTAAACTAAATCAAAGTTATAAACAAATTTCGTCTCTACATTTATAGCCTAACAGGTAGAAAAACGAACATTTTTTTTCCAGAATCAAGAGTGTGATCATCTATCCGTAGAACACAGATATTTTCGATGGTCTTTTTTAAGTACATAATATTTATATACAACAAATATAACAAATAAACTCACACACCCTCCTCACTTTTAGTGAGGTTTGGATCTCTGACCTCATAGGAAAACAAAGACTACGATACCGTTAGGTCAAAGACCTTCTTAATGATATTTTGGATGGTTAATAAAACTAGTTTATTCTAAACCAGATGGATATGATGAAGTAGCATGTCATTTTCTTAAAAATGGAAATAAAAAAGAAGCAAATTATTCAAGAAATGACTTTTTGGGTCACAATGAGCTAAAAGTCAAAATAGGGTTACAACAATAAGGTCAACAATCCCACATGAAAAGAAACAAGTATCCACCCTCCATGCCCCCACAACACCGCCCACTAGGAAATTTATAAAAATAACTATTTAATACGATCATTTGTCACAAAATAACCGGGTTTTTAAAGTTTTTGCATTTTGACCACCCAGATCGCCCCCGGGGGCAATCCATACATGTGGGGGGCGATCCATATTAGAATTATTTAATAAAAAAAAATCAGCCTTAAAAGACGAGATTACTGTTCACCCTCGAAGACCGGGTTTGACCTCGCCCTAGGGGGCAATCCAGACTGTCCCATCTCCCCCAGGGGGCGATCCAGTCTTTTAATCTTTTTATTTTTTTATGGGTATTTTTAATAAAACTGATACGCCATTTAAGTTCTATTTTTTAAACTTTTTTAGAACCAAAATTCATGGGTAAAGGTTTAAAAATAAACCATTATAATTATGGAGACGCAAAAATTATTTTATTTATTTTGGGTTTCGTAAATCAGATATAGTATCTGATTTACGAAATTTGACCTCTATTTCGTCATTTTGTGTTTTTTATTTAACAATTAAGGAGTGTTTTAATAAAAATGGAAAAAAATACATAAATTGTGTCTTTTTACATATTTAATTTTTTAAATTTCATGGTTTTTCAGTATAAAATAAAACAATGGTAATTGTAGTTACAAAAAAATAGCTGATTTTGGGAGAATAAATCAGACATTATATCTGATTTCGCGGTTTTTCATGTTATGACATTCTATGACGTCGATTTGACGATGTATTTTGTTTTATTACTTAACGTCGGGGAACGGTGTGCTCATAGCACCGGGGTAAAAAGTGTTTGGACCGCCCAGGTTTGCACTTGATGGATTTCTTCCATAACCTCCATTGTCGACCACATATAGTGTCAACATTTCTGGTAAAGTTTGACGAATGGCGTTGTGGAGGATTACAACATCGTCGTCGGTCTTCGAGGGTGAACAGTAATCTCGTCTTTTAAGACAATTTTTTTAAGGGTCTTAATGGGGGATCGCCCCCCAACATGTACGGATCGCCCCCGGGGGTGATTTGGGTGGTCAAAAACGCAAAACCTCTAAAAACTGGTTATTTTATGACAAAAAGTAGTATAAAAAGGTTATTTTTATAATCCCCCAACCACCAATTCTTTGAACCTATCTAAATAAATATTCTTTTTATTTTAAATTAAATATTTACAAAAACATATAATTGTAAAAAATGATAAAATACGTAAAATAACAATTCATTTTTATAAATTTTTTTATTATAACATTCTATTTTTATTTTTTCTTATTACAACAATGTACTTTTAAAATATTTTTTATCAGAGCATCGTACTTTCGAAATTTTATATTGCTACAAACTACTGTAATTAAAAAAAAAACTGAAAGTAGAATGTTATAATAAATTTTTTTGTAAAAGTAAGTTGTTATTTCATGCATTTTGCCTTTGTAAAAATATATAACTATTATATTTTTTAGTTAATTATAGATATTATTTATTAGAGAGAATTTTTTTTCCTACATCTTATTATTAAGGATAGGGTGAAAAAAATAAACACTTAGGGCTTGTTTGTTTTTCTAAAATTACCTCTTAATACCTCTGAAATCTAATTTGTTCAGATGTTTGGATATTAAGAGCGTTTGTTTTATTTTTAGAATAAGAGTTTAAAGGCTCTAAATGTCCTTTGAAATTTTAAGTGGTAAATGTATCTCTTAATACCTCTTAATCATAATCTGCTAACTATCAAATGATTCATATTTTGAGGGCCGAAAGAGATTTATTAATAAAAACTATTTATCTTTTATATTTTTGTAAAAAAAATTATTTTTCTTTTATATTTTTCAAGTAGTTTGACCGATTCAGATTTCAGAATTCAGACGTAAAAACAAAAAATCTTACCGATTCAGATTTTAAACTTCAAGACCATCTTTTACAAATCAGAAATGAAATCAGTGTTTCATTTTGCTGGTAAGCACTTACCCATGTAAGCGTTTGGTAAATTACTCGTAAGTGTTCTTTGAGTAAAATGAGAATTCAGTCACAAAAGTTGCTAAAAAATGTAGTTGGAGAGATCAAATTTCCCTACATAATCCCCTTATGGCTACGAAAGTTCAAATGCGGTGACTTCAGGCTACCCGCGAAGCGGGTGGTCGCCATATAATTAGTCGGCTCGCATAACGGGTTGGACATCAAAGATTCCGTAAAAAATCAAGGTTATGATGTATGTTTTCATGAGTAGACAAAAGAGGAAAAGGAACAAGTCAAAAAACCAATGGCATGATGAAAGTAAACAAAGATGATTTTGGTAAAGCAAAAGCAAGTTTTGGGGATTCTTTGCCCATAAATTATGCACAATTTAAGGATTCCAACATCCACAATGATCTCAATCAATAAAGCTATGAGATTAAAGACTATATATCATCTTCAATCTCTTATTGATTAAGCTCGAATCTTTATGACGTTTCGCACGAAGAATCCGTACTCGAAGTCCCGAGATTTTGATATAAGAAACAAATCCCGACAAAGAAAAGAGACCCACAAGCCTAACGGAGTTGTATCTCAGATTTTGGGTTGTTTACTTAGGATTCGTTTACCAAACACTGACTGTCTTTTTTACTTGGGGGTTGTTTATTTAAGAGATGCATATGCAGTTAGAGATTATGGTCTTTATCAACAATTTTACCGTGTCATTTCGCTTACTGAAAGAATCTTACCTGGCAAGTACAGGTGGTTAGCGCTTAATAGGTAAGAGACCATTATACTATGTTACGTTGATTGCCCTAGAATCATACCAGGGAAGATAAATGATGGTGGTGACTCTTATCCGTTAAATGCTTACCTAGTTCGTGTTAGAGATGCACCAAAAACCGTGAACTTGACCTGAAAAAGCCCGAACCTAGTGAGCCTGAAGCCAGGTCCAAGCCAAGCATCAAAGCCCGAGGGGGGCCCGACTCGAAAAGCACTAAAAAGTCCCTATTTCAAGTTTTCAACCCCAAAGCCCGAGCTTTTTTTTGTTCACTGAAAACATAATCGGAAGGCACAGGACCATGCCCAAAAGATTCCGGCCTTGTGCTTCTTTAGTTTGTGTCGGTAAACGACCCCATAGCGTTAATTGTCACTTACTGGGTAAGAACCTCTTACCCGTTAAGAAATGATGTTGTTTACCTCATCGAGTAGGTCATCAATACGTCACTTACTACAAAACATTTGGTAAACAACCATTTTCAGTCAGCAATGACCCGAAACCGCACCATTCCCACTCGGTGCTTCCACAATTTGTGTCGGTAAACAACCCCTTACTACGGTCATTGGAGTAATTTTAGGGCATAAATCTTGCACCAAATGATCAAATACACATCAAATCTACAAATCTTGCATTAAAATATACGAGATTTAATCAAATATAGCAAGACTTCACTTCTTGATTGCTAATCAATCAAGAAAAGTACACATAAAACAACATGGAATTTAACAAAATTTCTTTTCATGTACCTTGCATTCGCCCGAATCGCGGCAATTCCATGTCGACCGAAGACGGATTGTGCATTTGATTCTCGGAAGAACTTGCATATTTCCTCTTCTTCGACCATAGCCAGATCTTCGAAACCGAATAACTATCCGTTTTTGCGCTAATATCAATCTTTTTCCCTTCAGTATCTTCATCAAGATTGTTATCTTCGATTCCGTTCACAAATTTCGCGTCTTGCCCATCTCTCAAATCACTCAAAGGAACCCGAAGATTTGCATCACCGACAACATATTCATAAGAACCCATCGAATAACACCTTCTTGCATCTAAGTTACTACTACTGGTTTCACCTCCCGTTTCGCCTTCACTTTCGGTCAATTTTCTAAACTTTCCAAGCCTCACGGAGAAAACCCCGTTTCCAATTGGGGTTTTTTCAGGTTCGATTGTTTTTGGACCCGATAACCCGTTCTCATCCGGTTCTCGTGGATCGTCAAAATCGAATATCGGGTTATCCATGGAGAATCCAGGGTCGAAAAGAGTGTTTCTACAAAGAGGGCAAGTGGAATTCGATAGAAGCCATGTATCTATACAGTTTATATGAAAAGCATGGCTGCAAGTTGGGAGCAATCTCAATTTATCATTCTCGGTGAATTCGCATAAACAAACAGCGCAATCGAACGGCTCGTTTGCACCCACTACTTCTTTATACATGAAAACAGGTAAAGCGTCGATAAACGTTTGATCTAAACCGGAATCGTGCAAATGGAAGAGCTGTTGAAGCTGTCTTTGAAGCGTATCGGATGTCGATCCATCCGGATATCGATTCGATTGGGACGAATTCGACGAAGAATGGTGTTTCGTTAAGAATCTTACAAGCAAATGAAGCAAACCAGATATGAAAAACAGAACAGCCAAGATCACTATAATGAAAAGAACAGCTGGGCTTATCTTAGTTCCTGAAGAAGATGAAGATGGAGTTGAAGTTTTATGAAAACCAACACCAAATGGAGGTGAAAATGATGAGTATGATGATGATGGCAATGATGATGATGATGATGATGATGACGGTAATGAAGAAGAAATGGGTTGTTGAAAACCTAAAACACCATCTTTTTTATAGATTTGAGATTTCATCCAAGAAATCTTGATATTTGAATGCTCAGACAACAATCTTTCTTCTAAAAAACCCATCATTAGAACCAGATCTTTTTGCAAACTAAACTAACATAAACAGTCTTTCTTCATAAACAACCAAAACCCAACTCATATTATCAATCAAAGATTCATACCCAGAAGCTAAAATCCAAAAACCTCCCAAATTTGCCCTCAGATTCAACCAATTTCACAAGAAAAGTGAAGTGGGTCATGCTGGATTAAACTAAAAACCGATTCTGAAACACAACCCACTGATTCTTTTTCAATAATAATAGATGGATAATGACAAATATGAGATTAAACTGCAATATCTTTAACCAACCTTGAAGAAGCCCACTTTGTTCTGGTTCAGTAGGTGAAAGAAAACCCTAAAAAAAGAGCAAGTTTCCAAATCAAGAATCTGAAAACCCTAATTGCAAATTGGGGAAGAAAATGAAGTGGGAATATAAAAAGTGGAATAGATTAAGAATGGACTATAGGGAAAAGAGAAGTGAAAGAGATGTGTGAATGAATCTTGAAGGGTGGCAATGGCTATTGGGAGTTACCCAAGTTGAAAGGCATTCAAAGGGGTTTTTTTAAGTGGGAAGATGATGACACACGCGATTAAGGGAGTGCGTGTGAGGGGTTATACTACAAAAAGTGAGCTCATGGATGTGTTTCCTTTGTCTACATATAACATATTCATATAGAATTGAATCAAGAAAATGAGTCAATGGATGTATCCAACAATTGAATTTTACAGAATCAAATCAAAAGATTTTGATTTGGTATTGATAGTGGGTGAATGAGTGATTGATGTTATGAATCACATGTCAATAAAGGTATGATGTATGCATGTTTAAAAAGATAGAGAAGGTTGGTTCTTGAAATATTCAATTGTATCAGGGTTTTTGGGTTTTGGGTCTACGCCTTTTACACTCGTATTATCTTTTGTGAATCACACGAGAAGAGATGGTTATCATGCATTCTTCCTCTGTGATCTTCGAGGGAGGGGAGAAACGAGTACAACAGAGGAAACGTTGATGCAATGGGGTGATGAGGATGCCTTTTCTGGTAGAAGAAATACATGTGTGCATTAGTTTTTTAGATCCCACTCCATATGGAGTTCACTGAGTTCGTTTGGTTTACTTTAATTGACGTTGAACTAACCCCACCAAATGAATCAAGAACTACTTTTTGTTTGAATACTTCACATGTGAATAATATCTACTTAATAATCGTTTTACATGCAATATCTAAAAAAGGGTCATTTTAAAACTTTAAGTTTGTGTTATCGTTAAATTTTAGAAGTTTATATTTATACAATAACCTAATGAATTCTTGGTGGATTTGAGCAGATTTGACCCTACCCTTTTTATATTGTATATATACCATCTATTTATTTCTCGATGGAGCACGTTAAGCAAAAAAGGTATGACACCACTATCTAGAGCGATCCTACCATCCTTAAGCATATATACCTTGTATCATTTGTCATATATCACTGTTGTTTCTTATAAGGACGTCTACATTTTCACCTCATATTCAAACCATCAATGCCCATCACAAGTTATGCCATAAATATAATTTAGGGAAATTTATTAAAGTAATCATTCTTAGCCATTTTCTCTCCAAGTTTACCGAAATAGCCATAGGTCTGTAAAACCCACGTCCACAATTATGGACCTAACTAAACGACAAAACAAAAATTACACCCTCTACCCCTGACCGCAAAAATTACATTTTTCACCCAGACCCAAAAAAAAAACGGACCAAAAACTATTTTGGTAAACTTTTAAAGAAATGAATAAAATATGAAATCAACTGATAAAAATGACCATCTTAATTAATTTCCTTATAATTTAACATAATAGATTAAAAAAACTTACAATACAATTTAACAAAGAAATCATATCAAAATTCAAACATTAAACATAAAGTTCACAAGTTTTAAGGTTTAATATATTACATAAATTATGAAAAACGTATTAATATATTAAAAATGAAAATCACTTAAACCAAATATAGGAAAGGTATGTGAGTTTATTTGTTGTATTTACTGTGTATAAATATTATATACTTAAAAAAAAATATTTAAAAAACCACAATTGAAGCAAGTTATAATGGTTGGTTGCAAGAATGGGGTAACATGTCAATTGCTTGGTTTTAGAGGTAGAGTAAATGACAATTTTTATGACAAATACTTTGATTTATTTATGCACACTTGTGTCTTTTTTTAATTATTCACATTAATTATGTATAATATGGACAAAACATGTGTATTATTATTTGTAATTTATAAAAGGGTACTCATACAATGCAGTGTGATAAATCTTGATTTTAGTGTTTTATTTTTTCTCAGTGGATGTTATAATACAGTTTTATTTGGTTTGTGAAAATGATAATTTTTTTTATTTTGGAACTCAATGATTATCTTAATTATATTTTAGATTTTTTATATTTAAAGTGAGATGAGACTTGATTATGTGTATTTGCAGTTAGTTATACAAATTTAAACATGAAGCTTTAATAAGTTGTATTACGCACAATTTACTTGTAATATTAAATTTTAAGTAAAATACATCAATAAACAGTACTTCATGCATAAAAATGATTTTTGAGAGTTTTTGTCAAATACTTTATAATATAACATAGATAACTTTTGTAATTAAAAGATATGAATTTTTTTATTCATTTTAATGGGAAAAAAGAGTATTAAAAATTAAAAAAAGGATTTGAAACATAAAGCTCATTAGAATCGAATTATCAAAGAAACTTGAGAAATGATCAGAGAAAATTAACATAAAAAACAATATATAAAAAAGACATCTACAAAAGTCAAAAAAAGGAACATTTTTAAAACAACTGAAAACAACTAATTTGTTTTAAATTGCTCGGTCGTTATTCGGTCCTTTTTGACTCCAAAATTCAAATTAAAACAACATTTAACTTGGCCCGTTAATTGGTCTGTTCAAGCTCTTATCGGGCTTCAGTGTAATGGTGCTAGGGTTTGATTTTGGCCTAATCAGGCTTTTTTCAGACCAATTGCAGATAGTGATGGCCAAAATCCGGTATCAGGTCGGGCCGAGGCCGAAGCCGGTATCGGACCGGAATAATGCTTCTTATAACTGGTCCCGTCAAACATACTAAGACCCGGTTAAGCGTAGGTGTAACCGGATATGGGGAACCGACCCTGGTCCTTACCCAAAAAAAAATTTAATTTTTTTTAATGATAGGTTTTTTGAATACATTATAAAATTTGTAATTAAGTCACTCAGATACATTTCAAAAATACGTTTTATTATTATCAAAAAAGGGCTAGTTTTTTCAAAAACCAGGCCGGTCCCACAAATCCCTCCAAAATCGTAACCGGTCCCAAGCTAGGGCGGTTCCTATCGTCCAACGGTCCCAGACCGGTTTAGCCATCACGATGAGGCAAGGTGGGTCGTCAATCTCAAATCTTCTTTGCATTCTTTACATAAAACACCCATAAGTTTCTAATGTATAAACCATCTTTTGTTAACTAATTTTATAAAAATCTAAACGACATTTTCTTAAACACCGGTTTAGTTTACACATTTTAAAGACATAAATAGAAAAGCAGAAACGGTGGTTCTTGTCAGGCTTTTTGGGAAAGCTTATTGGCCACATAACATCATGAAAAATGCATTGTAACAAAAGGAAAATACCAAGTTTTTTATATGGGTTTTTATAATTAAAATAAAAGAATAATATATATATATATATATATATATATATATATATATATTTTCATCTCTATGGTTTGTAAAATATTATTTTGTTGTCCCTATAGTTTGTAATTCGTTGCTACTGCAGTCCCTGGACTAATTTCTACAATTAAAGTACATGGGATCAAAACAGTAAAGAATTATAAACCAATAGTAAATTGTAAATCATTAGGATGATAATAGCAATGAATTACAAACCACTGAGACGAAAACCAAAATTTCTAAGCCGTAGGGACACAAATTGCAACATTTAACACACCATAGGGATGAAAAACGTAATTAATGATATGTTTGTTAGCAACTAGATGAGCATAATATGACTCATAGCTTACTCATTCAGCTATACATGATTGTTTGTTAGTAGCTTAATGGTATATGAATTGACTTATTCGGTAAGCTTCTACGAGAGAGCTTCATACATAAAACCAAGTTTTTTATTCCAAACTTATCTCTCCTACTTAAAAAACATGTTCATTCCATCTATGAAAAAACCCTCCCAAATAAAAAAACTTCACAATCTATACAGACAAAGTAATCTACACATATAACTTTAAAAGGCCAAGCAAAAAGCTCCACTTTTTAATCCTCTAACTAGTTTTATTGAAATTTTCAAATATAAATCAAATTTGCATGCTCCATTTTTCACTGAAAGAAAAAATTATTTATCTGTTTGAAAAGCACATATGAAGAACTTCAGGCATTAAAAACACAAAAAATGTGCCAAAAACTGCACTGCTTTCCTTCAAGAAAATAAAGAAAACACAATAGAGGTCTCAAGATCCATTAAAAATCATCAGAACTTCTCTCCATAGTAGGCTGCGGTGCCAACCATGAGCGCGACCGTTCCACCCTGAGCGACCACACGAGCTCGCATCAATTTCTGACCCAATTCGGAGTTGCCTTTCTTGAAGCTAATTAAACCGGCAGTCAGCACCCCGGCTGTGATCAAGGCGCCTAAAATCACCATGGGAGAGAATCAATCTCAGATAAGAAACTAAACCAAACCAAACTGACCTAGTAAATCCCACTCGGAAGTAGGGTATGGGGGATGAGATGTAGGCAGACATGATCTCTACCACAAAAGGGTAGAGGCGTTGTTTCTGTGATCTCAGATACGAAACTGAGAAAAATTATAAATTCTAATCATTTAGAGATGTCAAGTGTTTTTGACATATGAATGGCATCATAACTTATCTTCCTCTACGGACCACGGGTGATATAAATTTGTGAACCAAAAATCTACGTTATATACACTCTTATCTGGGGCAAATGGCAATCTGCTAATGCAAATTTTGAAGTGGCTCCAACTTTAAGGATCATGACGGGGGGCTGGTTCAATAGTTCGTAACGGTATAATCATAGCTCATATAGCCTAGCATCAGTTCCCTAAACACAAGGTAGTGCACATAAATTAGTCTGTTCGTTTTTTACACGTTTGAAGCAAATATGGTACAACTCACGCTGGAGTATCATGAATCGGACTAGTTGAAGAATCTCTTTAGGATTTAGGGTTCATGTTGTGTATGAAAGCACCCATACCATCTCAACGACGTAGGGTCTGTTTGTTAACAGCTTAATGAGCTTAATAGGACTCACAACTTATTGGTCAGCTATACACTACTGTTTGATAGTAGCTTAATTATACAGAAAGTGGCTTATTCAGTAAGCAGAAAGCCAAGTTTTTTCAAACCTACCCTTCCCAAAGAAAAAACACGCTCCTTCCATCTATGAAAAAACCCTCCCAATCTATACAAACAGATTAATCCATATAGTCGATTTTATCCATAGAGGACTTAATGTAAAACCAGCCAAATAGCCCCTTAATTCTATATTTCAGGTTTGTCTTCCTGTAAATTCATCATATACTTATGCATGATTCTATCTCAGCAACAAAAAGATCCTGCTCATATTGCTGTTCAGTTTGTAGATCATCTAGACCAGAAAGTGTGAAATGTCAAAATTTTATCTCTTCAATGAAGATAGACCCCCAAAACCAGTATAAATTATGGGAGTGCATATTATTGCCCAAATATAGCAACCTATACACGGTTCCTATGGCATTTGTAAGTCGACACTTTCACCACGTAATTCACAATGGCTCCCAAACACGCAAGTGTTTAAAGGCACTAACCAATGGCCATGATCATAAGAGCAACCAAACCTACACTTGATCAACATGTTAGCATCGAAAACCAATGGGTTTCCGCATTTATGCTCAGGGACCAACAACCCACTTCAGACATCTAGACCAAAGCCTCCACAGTTTGGTACAGGACGAGTGAGGTAAGTGGGTGAATGAATTGTTGAAGGTTTTAGGGTTTTAACTTGAAATGGGTAGTTTAGTAATTTACTGATTTACCAAAAGCCAGAAAGGTAGATGATTACTTCTCTGCTACAAAAATACACATTGGATCCGAGTACTCACTCTCACACTTGAAATGGATCAAGGGACCCCCCCCCCCCACAAACTATACATCTGTTGTAACTCCCGCGGGCCAACCGTACAAGATATTGACTGCTTTATCCACACCTACGCTCATGGTTTTAGAACGCGTTAGATAGAGGATGTATACAATCCTTTGTAAGGCAACTTTTGTTCCCTTCCCAACTGATGGCGGATCTCACATTTGTGCAAGTCTAAGGGCCTGTTTGTTAGCAGCTTAATGAGCTTAAAGGGACTCAGAGCTTTTTGTTTGATAGTAGCTTAATGATAATATGATATAGAAAGTGGCTTATTCAGTAAACTTTTAGAGGGAGCTTTATGCAGAAAACCCCTCCATTAAAAAACACCATCTATGAAATAACCCTCCCAAATAGAAAACCTTCACAAGTTATACAGACAGATAAATACACACAGGCAACTTTATACATACAGGACTTAATGGAAAACCTACCAAAATCCCCTAAGAGCTTCTCTAATGTCCAGAAAGGGAAGGAGATGATCAGAACCAACAATCATTGATACACCAATCCTCAAAAATCAACCTTGAATATATGAATCTTTAGTCCCACAAAAAAACCAGCAACCACCTATTCAAAATCTCTAAATCAATCACTACAGTGACTACACCATCAGAATTCCAGCAAACATTTACCCAAATGCTCACATCTAACTTATCAAATCTATAAATTTCAAAAGTTGCAGAACATAAGTTAATCATTCCCAGACACCTTACGCACTATGCAGTAACAGAAGGACTGAAATTAGGGATAAATCACCACAAAAATGGAAGCTTAACAGCTGCGCCGCTGAAGCATTGTAGCGATTAAAGCTTCCATTGAGTGGATGGACTACAGCAATTAAAAAGAAAAATCACGCAATTTAGCTACACAATTAACGAGGCAGGATAATCCAAAACAATTCAAGTCAAATTTTCAAAAAGTAAAACTAGGTTTTTGGATAGAATTAAATACCAATTGGAACGAAGGGGTTTCTAGAGCGCTTTTTCTCAGGAAACAGGCTTTCAAGCTCGGGATTAGCTCCCATATTTCCACAAATAGAACTCCCGGATACTTGGTCCGATCGAGATGTCTCCTCTACTGGCAAGATGCAAACCTAGAAAATTAGTAGGATGATTCGAATTGAATTGATCGAACTACCAACCTCGCTTTTTCTCCTTTGGAACTTGTGGCCCTAAAGCTGTTTACGCTCTTGCTTTTCTAACTTCTCACTTGGCGGTTCTAGCCGCCGTCAGTCGCCGGCCGTCGATTTTAGTCGCCGGATCTAATCGGTCTATATAAATTGGTCAAAACTTTTAGCGGTTCTTTGGAGCTCCAAAGTTCCCGTAACAAGTCTGATTTTAAACATAATTTGTTTCGAATTTTAATTGCTCTTTAGAAGTAAATGTCTAATTTCTCCGTAAACCTTAATTATGAGACGAATTCATTGTTTTATCATCAAGGATAAAATTGTCCTTTAGTTGATTAAAAATGTAACGATAGCATATCCTAAAACTGTGGTCTTATTAGCTGTGGATATTTATTTTGGGATATATGAAATATATAATATAACATGTACGCATGTTTTCTACCATTACTCAATGAGTCAATGATATTAAACAATTTAAGTTATATTATATACTAAAAGTTAAAGTGCACATCAGATCATGATATGTCGAAGTGACAAACCTTAAGCCACGACAACCGTCATGATACGCCTTCTATAACTCTAACAGGCAAGGACACAACAAAATTAGGCTTGACAATAAGATCCGTCCCGTTAGAGAACCCAATGTACCCGCTTAGGCATGGGAATCGGGTCCGACCCGTCAGGGAACCCGCTCCACAAGCCCTAATGGGGGACGAGGATTCCTTGGTAAACCAGGGATAGGGATGAAGACAGGGACGGGTATTGCATTTCTCATCTCGTCCCGCACCCGTTGTATATATTTATTAAAAAATTATATATATATATATATATATTATTTATTTCAACTAAATAGGTAATTCATTATGTCTTATTTCCTAACTAAGTTTAAAATCTAAAATTGTTATTTTTTTGGATATTAATATATAATATTTTGGATGTCAAGTAAAAACACAATTACTTGATACATTTGAATATTACTTTGATATGGTTTTGGATATTACACGACATGTTCTAATACACGTGACTGTTAAAGTTTTTTTATATTAAATTGAATTTCTTTTGGTTTAATATGATTAATTATTATATGATATGAATTTTTCGTATTAAATTAAATTTCTTTCAATTTTAAATTTATCGAAAATACATAGATTTAAACCCGTGTGATGTCTCAAATTTTAAAATAGCTTCCATAAATGGGGAGAAAAATCTCCGTTTCCTCCGTTGGCGATGGGCATGTGATCATATTCCCCGATAGGGACGGAAACAGAAATGAGGGATCGGAAACGGGGACGTGGATTAAGGTCCCCGCTCCATACTCGCCCCATTCCCATGCCTAGAAATCCGTGTCCCCGTTGGAGCGGCATAAACAAAATCGATTAACGGGTTCTTTAAATTTTGTGGACTACGTAATTTCTCTTTAAAAGTTAAAAATGTCAAAAATTAAGAAACCACCATACACCATCAAAACTGATGTTGAAAGACTTGCTACCTTCATTAACCCCATTACAACATCAAACCCTTCATCAAAATCACCTGATAACATAAACAGCCTTGTAGCGGAAATGCGTAAAATAAGCGAGATAAACCAGATATCGTTAGCTGTCGGTTTTCTAGATTCCACGTTGAAGCAAAACGGTCGATGTGTAAAAGACGGGATTCGGATTTTACCTTAAATGCAATGGTTACACGAAACTATTGGCGATAAGCTTTTGTTAGATCGGCTTTCGTTATTTGAGGTCATCAGACATGGCTGAAGGTATACAATGTGTTAACAGGATATCTCGAGTTGCATCTTTTGCCATCTTGGTCCGTAACACCACGATCTACAAAAATGTTATAATGCTCAGGTGATACTTTCTTGCGAGACAGACGTTTCTCCATAATCTCTCTAAAAGTCAAAAATCTTCAAAAGAAATACATTCAATTTAACTCCAAATGTTTTTCCACTTTTAAAGATTTCAACATTGATTATATTATTAAAATATTCAATAATATAAAAAATGTCTTCGTTTGATTTTCGGCTATCCCAACATTAACTCTTCTATATATTTCTTGACGGAAGTACCTTGATCCCATGGACAAGTTTTTTTTTTTAATTAACCTGGATATCTAACCCGCTATGCACGCCGACTAATCCCAGGGCGACCACCAGCTTTGCAGATAGCCCGGAATCACCGCTTTTGAACCTCCATGGCCACAAGAGGATTTTTTTCGTCCTTGGATTTGAACTTGGGACCTCGTGATACTTTTGACCTTTGGAACCAAGCTCAAACCAATCAGGCACCACCCTTGTGGTTGACAAGTTTTTTTTGTTTTTCCTCAAAAGATTTTCTATATTATTCCCTAAAATAAAGAAAACAAGACAAGACTTCAAGTTCGGAGGCCTGCCTAAAACTTTTTTTTTTTTTTTGGAAGGGTGCGCCAGACTATGCCTAGACTAATCTTGGCAAAGTGTGACTGCAAGAAAGCAGCTCTGATAAACCTAATGGCTACAATTGTTGTGTTCGTCTGGAATCGAACCCTGGGAAAATGGGATCTTCCACCACATCCCCGAGGACCTCACTACGGGGAGATGTGAGATAAATTGTCTTTGTATTCTCTCCCACCAATGAGATTGATTTATAATTATTTTATATATAAGTTTTTTTAAAGTGTATTGGGATGTAAAATTATATAATATGTTAGTAATATAATTAATGTTGGCATCTCCGAAATAGAGAATCTGTTGGAGATGTTCTCTATTTTAAAGAAATTATAGATAATTTGGTTTGGTATCTAGTAAGACTGTATTGGTGTAGAGTTATAGAAAAAACCTGTTCGTATTCAAGGTCGAACTTCAGAAATTCTTCGTTACAACTTTCCACCATATCCACCAAGCTCTTCAAGTTCTTGACGGGCTTGTTGTTGAAAGCAAGAACCTAAGTGAACGGTCGAGAAACAACAGAACAATAAGACAAAAGATGGAAACCGATGCATCTTTGGATCTTTTTCTATTTCAAATGCCGAATGGATCAGGGTGATTTTATGTTTAACCTGAGTATTCACTAACTCTTCGTATCCAATATTGATGTCGGCCACAAGCACCTGAAAAAGGAAAGAATTTGCTTATTTCCTGATTGAAAGTCATTTGTATCGAGGGCATGCATATGATACAACATGAAGGTTATGTCACTCCCAAAAGCTCCAACATAAGGTATGCAGAAGTTGCAACGATCTATTTAAAGATTGAAGTAAGCTTCCAGGAGTTGGAATCATCTTGTTGATGAAGAAATAAAGAGTTCCTACTTAGAGAAAACAATGATGAATTCTGTGGCTACAAAAAGACTAGTGGGGGGGATCCAGGATTTTGCTGAACGGGTGCACTTGGATCAAAGGCCCACAAAGTTGTCTGATGTCTTTTTAGCCGAATTACACTGTTTCCAGTGAATTTTTAAGTTTTTTGGTTGATTTCAAGGGACTTTTTCGGTTTTTTGGTTGATATCCCTTGTATTTTCTAGTCACCCAGAGCACCTCTCAGAGTTTGACATGTGAACCTCTTATACCCCCAAAAAGTTTACTTGCAAAAATCGGTTGAGCGGGCGCACATGACTAGGGGTGTAAACGAGTCGAGCTTTTAACGAGCTTGTTTATCTCGAGCTCGAGTCGATCTCGAACACAAAAGAAAGCTCGCTTAACAAGCCGAGCTCCATAACATCAACGCTCAACTCAACTCATTCGAAAGCTCGATTAAACTTTACAAGTCAAACCGAGTCAAGTCGAACCATTCGAGCATACATTTTTTGAACCAAATTATATAATAAAATTTTAAAAATTATCGAGCTTGAGCAAATAAACGAGTTAATCAATCTCGAGTTCGAGCTCATAAACGAGCATCGAGCTCGAGCTCAAGCATTCAAAAATATTCAATTTTGAGCTCGAGCACAACTTGAAAAGGTTAATCGAGCTCGAGCCTGGTATTGATTTTCGAGCCGAGCTTGAATAACGTGCTACTTAACTCGACTCATTTACACCCATAAACAGGACCCTGTTGGGGAATTCATAGGTCCTCCCCTGTTTGTAGGGCAGCACTTTTCCTTTTGTTGTACGTGGATGAGATAGTACTTATCGAGAATGATATCCTGCCGCTTCGTGAAAAGAAACAATGAAGAGACGACCACAGAAAAAAAGGAAGAAACTTGACCTGAGAAACTACGACAAGTTGTTCATCAACCGATTGTGCCATGGCATGTAGATGTTTGTCCAATAGCTTTACCGGAGCATCAAAATCATAGTCTTTCCCGTACTGAAATCCAAAAGCAAACAAGCGTAAAGCGTAACTTTCAGAAGAAAATTTTAGTTAATTTTCAGAAGCATGCAGGACTCTAAGAACCCATAACATTACAAAATTGTAGCTCTGTTCTACTTAAGAATAAATTCTTCAAGCAGCATTTTCCGTAAAAAAGACCATTTGATTGAACATGAAGATAATGAAACAATCATGAACACGAAGAGACTAGTAAAAATCTCTTTCTATTCACATTGTTGGAAAGGCCCAAATACTGCAATAAGGACATTGGCATTACCTTTAGGGTGCGTTCAGTGTTCAGACAGGATGGGACAAACCAGAGAAGAATAGAACATTTACGCGTTTGGTAAAACAAAATCGGAGAGGACAGATAAAATGACCAATTTACCCTAATGAGTTGTTTATATCTTTTATATATTTTGATTAATTTATGTAATTTATTAAATTATAATAAAATAAATATTTTTATAACAAAATATATATCATTAGGAAGTTTTCATCAGGACGATTAAAATGACACAAAAATAAAAGTTTATGTAGTTTCCACTTTTTATTTTATACCTTTTCAATGTTATTTTATTATTATTAATTATTTAATAAATTACATAAGATAACCAAAATATAAAAACCGTATAGAAATAATATTATGAGGAAGGTAAAGTGAATGTTTAAAAGGTATAAAATACAATAAGTAAAATTTAAAGAATGAATAAAATGTAAAGAGGGAGACGAATCTGATGTTTTAGAAGAGAATTAAGTTTTATTTTAAGATTATATTTGTAAAGTATAGGTCTAGTCCACCTTGTTGGCTTGTTCCATGGGATGTGGTGGAACACGCCTGTTACGCTTTGTTTCTGATCCTGTCTGTTCCACATAAAAGTCTTCCAAATGTGGAACAGTGATCCATGTTGTGTTTTGTCCTATGTACCAAAAACACCCTTGGTACGAAAGACAGGACAAAAAGTTGTTGTCCTACATTTGCAAGGACATGACAGGACTGAATAGGATAACAAAGTGCATAGGTGGAAAACGATTAGGGAGATGGAGACAAGATTGGTAAATTACTAAACTACCCATGTCAAATTAAAACCATATAACCTTCCAAAATTCTTTCACCGACCTACCTCACCCTTGCCCACCCAATCCTGTTCATTTCTCTCCGGTCCTGACTGCATACCAAATACATCCTTAGTTTACAAGGATCTTCACCAATCATCCAAAATAATTTAAATAAAAAGAGCACTTGGTTGCATGACGTTATGAAAGGTGTCTACTTAAAAAAATTTCAAACAAAATGGAGAATGCAAGATGGCACAGCATTATACGCACGTTTTTGAAATATTAGAAAGTTAATTTTAAGGAAAATCTCGTATACAAGAAAGGATATGGCAAAGAGAGCAAAAACACGAACAGAAAACATTTGTATATAAGTACTGGGTACACACCTCCGAACGCAAATATGGCACGGATACAGCAGTGAAAACAAATCCAGCAACTATGTAATAGGAAGGGGGCTTGCCACCAATGTGTGCTGGCACCAGTCGCTTGTGGGTTGCAAGTTTTATGTTGAACTCATAAATCTTCGAACTTCTGAGTATTTTAACTAGAGCTTTATCACCGGTATACTTTTGCGAAACAAGATAACTGAAACCGATACGCTCTCCATGCCTGAATGGAACTGGAGCCAATCACATGGAAAGCAAATAAGAATTCAAAATGCTAATGATGAAGAAAAACCATTCGATCTTAAATGAATAAAGATTATCTTTTTTGTTCAGAATGAGAACATATAAGATCAATAATGATTGCATGTGCAGCTAGAGATGCACAAGGCCCGGGATTTACGGGCCAGGCTCGGGCTGGGCTCTGAACTAGGGCTTTTTTGTGCAACCTATGAGAAACCAGCTAACGACAAAAAAGATGCTGGGAAATGGAACGTAAGGTACAAACAAGTAGAGTAAGATAAGCATACCTGTTCCATCATTAGCAACATTAACCCCATCAAAACTAAGGATTACATCAGAAGGACACAAGACATTAGATTCAGGAGCAGTGGGTTCAATTCTTTTGATCCGCACACCCTTATGCTCATTTCCCATTCCAATTGACATCCGCAGATCAGGATTCTCCATCTTTTGCCACTCGACTCCAAGAATTGGGAACCCTGAACAATTGTGATGCAAGGGCGTATAACATAAGAAACGAAGTTATCAAGTTTCAAACACAATAAACAAATGCCCACTATTCATCCAACATAAGAAAAGAAAAAAAAGAAATAAACCAAACAAGACAAACCGGCTCTTGGGACGGGATGTATGCAAACATGACCTCTACCCCAAAGCGCAGAGAGCGGTTGTTTCTGTGAAGACCCCCAGCTTGTGTAAAGTGTGCAAAGAAAAGGATAAAGCTTGCTCAAAACAAGTAAGATGGTGCTAAAGTTTGAAAAACGAGTTAGATGTAATAAGCAACAACATCCGAACAGACGCACAAACAAACATAATACAAACAAACAAAACATTAAAAAATAGGCAAAATTAATATCATAACAACCACCTGTATATTCGCCGTTCTTTTCATAATCCCGAATAAAATGCATAATAACTGGGGTTGGTATGACATAACCAATATTCTCGGCATCTTCATGTTTAAGAGACTGAAATGCAATACCAACACACTCTCCCTTGTCGTTAAAGGCAGGCCCCCCTGAATTCCCCGAGTTTATTGCAGCATCAATCTGCAAATCAATCACATAAACAATAGAAAGCAACAATAAGTCAATGAGAACAATTTACTTAAAAGTAAATAAAGAGCGGGTGTAATTATCTAATACTTGCAAACCAAGAAGCTCGGTTGATCCATGAACATAAGATAATATCTCTATGCGTGAAACAACGCCACTAGTCACCGAGATTGTGTCTCCACCAATAGGGTAGCCGACAACTGTGACGGCATCTTGTAATGCAGGCAAATCTCCAAACTCCAAGGGTGAAATTCCTTCCCAGAATTCATCGTCACTCACAGTCAACATTGCTGCCACACCATGTAAACATGTTTATGACAAACTTTGCGAAATAAATAACGACAATGAAGCTTTGATAACTTGTTGATATTGATACCTACCCTTTGATTTCAGATATATAATACGATCCTTTATAATATAAAGTTGATATGTTCTGGAAAGTTTCTTGCAAAGACTTGTCTTTTGTCTTACATGTCGGAAAGTAACCAACTACTTCTTGAGAATTCTAAAATACTAACCTAAATAACATCAAACATATAATATTGTTGTGTCCCTTTCTTTGGAACTTTAAGAATATAAATAAGCTTAAGAGCTCGTTTAATCTCTCATTGAAGCTACATCCAACGTTCGTTCCTAATGATTTCTATTTAGACCATCTCCAACCCTTAGAGGCAAAAAATACCGAATGGGTGGGGACGTAAACACCAAAAATTGCTTCAACTCCATCCATATATATATATATATATATATGGAGAAGGAAGTTCCGTTAGGAACCCAAAATAGATTAGGAACCCGTAACTGCCCATGGCGTTCCACATGTCTCTATTCTAGATGTATATTCATGATGAATATGGAGTAATGAATCACGGACTCGTCATTCACAAATTAATATTGAATAATAAGTCCATAGTTGTTGCACATGTACATACAAGTAATTGAAGTTGTTTTTTGGTTTTTATGTACCTATGCATGTTATGCACATGTCCATACCGGATAAATTGCTTACAAATTACTTGTATGCACATATTCAAATCATCCGGATTCCTCGGTTTTTCAATGTCTTTTACGGTTTTCCCTGACCCTGATTCAAACAGGAATATGTGGTTCCTCTCTCATCTCCGGCATTTAGTCATTCTTTTTGCAGTACAGTTCTAGCTTCTTCTCCAGCAAAATCTTCAACCATGCATATTTGAGATTGTGCGGGAGTAGAAGCAGCTCCAACCGTGATGCAAGAAGATCGATAAAATGCTGAAAATGGGAGCATACGACATATACGCCTCGTGGTTGGATTTGAAGCAATTTTTTGTGCCAATGTCCCCCACCAATGAGTTTTTTCTTTGGCTAGGGTTGGAAATGGTGTTCGTACCAACCAAACATTACACAACAATGAACAATATAAGCACCAACCAATATCGCATTCAGTTCCGATAGCAAGCACAGTTGCAAGATATTTGGTATCAGAGCCTCGTTTCTTAACTTTGACCTGAGTATGATGCTCGACGGAATGTGCATTTGTCAAAACCCTCCGTCCTCCGATGATAAAACCACTACTACTCGAACTATACTGCCTCTTCCTTTGCCATGGCAACGAGAAATTCGGTTCCGTATGAACACAAAACACCTTAACCACCGCATCCATCGACGGAACAACCTTCCCGACGGTCTCCCACCGCGGAGCACCATCAGAAACAGCCGTAACGATGTCACAATCTCCATTATGATCGCTATGCCTAGAAGCTCTTCGATCAGGAGAAGCACCTATGCCAACATCGTCAGATTTTCCTTTTCCAGTCTTCCTATGACGTTTGGATCCTCGACGGTCGGTTTTGGTAGTATCAGCCGCGGTGTTTAAGGACGCTACTACGTCGTCGGCAGAGGTGGCGGTTGTGGTTAGGTTAGGGTTTGCCTCTGCGTCCGCTGCATTTTTGGATTTCCGGCCACGTTTTCTCGAAGGTTTTTCCATATTTAGGGTTTGATATTCTGGATATAAATGGTAATTACGTTACTTGCCGGGAGCTTTAGTCAGTCAATGGCGGTGAAGAAATGGATTTCGACGATTTCCGGCGACGAGAACACGAAAAGATGATGGAATGGGCTTGGGCTTTAAAAATAATTGGACCAATAAAGCTAAATTCCTTGGAGCCCAACCAACGACATGTTTGTCGGATTGTTTGTTTACCACTTAATAGTTTCATTTTCATTAAGAGTCAGTCTCTGAATCGTTAAGAGATGAATTTTATTTGACAAAAAAAATTGTTTTTTAATGGTTTCTAAAACTTTCTTCATGATTTTGTATCATGGGACTCCCTTAACCATTTAGCGCCCTAATTTTAATGTAAATAATTACCAAATAATTATATTTCATTTTGCACTCATGAGAGCTTCTTAATTATTCTCACACTTAATCATTCTGCACCAAACCATTCAACAACTGTAAAACAGCCATTTATAAAAGAAAATTTATGTCATAAAAAACTAGGGAAGGTCGAGTTCGATTGGTACACTTAACAAGATACATGAATTATTCAATGTTTAGCATTAGGCATGGGAATGAGACCGGATCCCAATTCTGATCCCAAACTCTGTCCACATCCCTGCTTGGGAATATGATCTCGTCCCCGTCCCCAATAGAAAATCAAGATTTTCTTTTATGTTTACGTGAGATATTTTAGATCAGATATGTTAAACATTGTATTCGATCGATAACAATTTATATTTAAATGTCACATATTCCATAATCTTGCTTTTACAAAGTATCAGATATTCATATGTTAACAAAAATCACATCATACATAATTGTTTGATCAAATATTTTCGGTTTTCCATATGTTTTACCTAGAAAAGGTCATACGAGTCAAAAAAGTGTACCTAAGAAGAAAGATCAAAATACTATTTCTAAATCTAAAAAATATTAAATCTATTTTTTTATAAATAATATATTTGATAATAGATATATATATATATAGAGAGAGAGAGAGAGAGAGAGGGGAGCGTTCAAATAAAAACTTGACCCATTTGTGTAAACCGTGTAAACCAATCTCAACCGTCCATTTTCTTGATCAATGGCCTAGATTATATTATTTTATTTTAAGAAATTAAAAATTAAAAAATAATTAATATTCATTTTATTTAAGAAAAAAGGGTAGAATCGGTATTCATATCAAAAGTCATCGTTTCCTATTTCCAAATACTCCCATTGTATTTTAGGAAATTAATATTCATTATTTTATTTTAGGAAATTAATATTCATTATTTTATTTTAAGAAATTAATATTCATTATTTTATTTTAGCATGTTCATTATGAAATTATTTTTTCAAATACTCC